TTCCTACGAATCATGACATATTGCATTACACAAAAGAGGCTGGCATATTCGTAGCTTAAAAGTTGAGGCGCTGATTTATTTGAGCATCAGCGCAAGTTAGAATTTGTTATTAGAGGATATACACTATATTTACTGTTGCTTTGAATTACAGAGTATATTCGTGAGTCAAAGTCAGAAATGTGTTTAAATTACATACTTTTACTGTAAAATTTTTTCAACACAGAAGGTATTAGTGCCCAGGTAAACAGAATTCGAGGAGCCAAGCGGATGGTAAATATTTGCTACCTAATTAGTACCGGTGCTTTTCTAGACAAGTAACTGTAAACGTTGTGAAAGAGCAGACAATATTTTCATATTAGCATTGTTTAGACGCTCTATGTGTCAGGAGATTATATTCTATAAAGTACCAATAATGTTTTTAATCACATATATATTTCATTTATTTATCAATGGCTCTACAGCCATTGTTGTGCCCTGGCCACTTTTTAGTTTCGTAATCTTATACACAATCGATAGGACTTCTATGACGGGGGTTCAGGCCGTCGCAAAGCTTCTACATATACACAGAACAACACAAAGAGAATAAATACACGTAGATATTCATGCTTCAAGCGGAATTCGAACCCACGACCTCAATGTTCGAGAAGGAGAAGACAGTTCGTGCCTTAGACCGCGAGGCCACTGTGACCGGAAATCATGTGTGTACGGAGGACTAAAATTATGCTCATTGATTTCTTTTTGGATGAAATGCTTGTTTCAGTTACTATGGAGCACTACTACTTGACTTCAGCAAAATAAATAAACATTTCTGGTGATATTAATTTACTGGACGATACGAATAGCTCAATGAAGAGCATAGACAAACTTCAGTCCTATTTTTTCATGCGTTTTCACCGGGATACCTTACAAATCATAATGCAAAGGGAGTTAACCGTTGCTCGAAATTATTGAAATGAACAAATATTTTAGAACAACACGACAAATAAAAAAATACATTCCAAAATAATATAAGGGCAGGTTAAATTCAAGGAAAACCTGTTAATATTCAGCTCTGTATATTCAAGCTCTTGCTTGCAAAAATAAACGTCAGCTTATACATAGATTTATCACTGTTGTTTCTTTGTGCGAATGAGAGGTTCAGGTTCACATCTCAAGGGATTCAGGGTGTTTGAAAGCGGGTTACTAAGGACAGTATTTGTTCCTAAGAGAAAGGTGGCAGGATGCTGTTGAAAATTGCATAATTACGTACCTCATGACCAGGGCCCGGATTTTGATGACATGTCATCTTTTTTTCCTTGTATCCTATGCTATGCTCTTAAATATATAAATCTCGGATATGAGCTGCTGGTTACAGAAATTTAAATTTTATAAGTAATTTTTTGTCATTTTTGACATTTTTAGGTTTAAGGTCATTTTTTTTCATTTTTGGGGTAATTTCTTGGTAAATGTTTGGAATTTTAAGGGTATTTCTTGTCATTTTTGGCCATTTTAGGGAATTCTTCTTCATATATTTTCTGAAATGTGAATAACATGGAAGCGAAGTGTTCTTTCTTTTCTCCTTTAGGTCATTTTTCTGGATTTTTTCGGTCAAATTTTAAATATTTTCAGGTCATCAAAATCCGGGCCCTGCTCATGACCAATATTTCCACTTTAAGCTTATAAACACCATAAGGTAGATAAGGCATAAAAAGACACAAGATGAAAATAAAAGAAGGTGTAACGACTACAGAGGCTCGAATAAGCTGTTCGTTTAATTTATGAAGAGATGATGATAATTATGATGATTTGTACACTTCACAAAATGCTATTCTTCCCGCTTTCGGATTTTACAGATTAGGCCCTCCGACCCCCTTTTGTTCAGAAATATCTCCTAAAACTAAGGATATTACAGGCAATTGATAGAACTCCCTGGCAGGGGCATTGGCCCATCATAAGGTCTCCATCAACAGAGGAAAACATCAACATATAAAAACTCTGTCATATATCCGCGTCCCAAGTGGGATTCGAAACAATGATTCCAGTGCTGAGCAGTCGAATTACAGGCCACGGCCGCTCTGATCTGCTACGTACCACAATTAAAGTGATGATATCTAGTGAGAGAAGACGAGCATGGGTCGAAGAAGATTCTTCTCATTTCGTGGTTCACATGAAAATATTGTCACATTTGCTAGTGACTCTTGTCGGGGTTTCTCGTTAAGAGGCGAGAAAAGTAAAATAAATGCATTTTCAATGGTTATGCCATTGCGCGGCGAGAGACGGTAGTACTCATACGTGTACTTACTCGTACATACAGGTACAGACAGATTTCGGTGGCCGCAGCCGTGTTATAACATTCTGTATATCGAAGTTAAACATTGATCAAGAGAAAGAAAGTTTAAGAACAAACAATATCACAAACGGATAGTAAATTTTTAAAGGCCTCAGCAAATATTATAATGTTCACAATATTATATTTAAGCATCCTGTTGCACTCTACACGATAACACGTAGTACAGACAAGCAGCGGCACCCACACAAGAAGACTACATTAAATAACACCTGTACAGTGTGGAAACAAGAACTAGCCGCTCCAGCACTTAGATATAGGGCGAGTAACCCTAAGAATTTTAAATTTTAAATTTTAAATTTAGAGAAAATTTTAAAAGATTTTAAAAATATCATAACTAAAGATTTTATAGTGCTACTACAGGAATATCAAATTTGACGTGTGCAATATAATCTACATACCAGACACATATCAACGAGGTAGATGTTGATAATACGAAGAAAGTGACATTGTGTTTTTAAATGTTAAATTTTAGACTGGGTTCAGTGTGGCAGCAACGTTAAGAGTATACACCTGATGATGGCCGATAGAGGCCGAAACATGTAGTGTAGAAAGAACAAGATCAAAAGACATATAATATATATTGCTTGCACTTGGGACGGAGTTTGTATCATTTATTATAATGTTCGTTTTAAAAAGTACCACCGATATCAAGCTGTATGAAATCAATATAATTTTTCCTAAATTTTGTATGTAATATCAAAATTGTTTACGAATTAAATTAAAATCGTTCTTTATTTAACTGGTTCCTCAACAGCGCGGGGCCTATTATAAACTAACGCGAGCAAATACAGAAGCAAAACAAACACATACACGCATTAGAAATAAGAAGACAACTCATATCACTCTGGCAATAACAATTCAATTAGTGCAATCACAGCAACCATGACGAGCTGAGGAAATGTATGTATATACTTCTAAACATTAAATAATTTTCCTGGTTAGTGATAAGCAACTTCGGAACCAATTAATATAACAATCAGAAAGTCAAAATTACTAAGTTTATTCAGAAAAAGGAATATGGGGATTTTATCAAAGGTGTGGCTGAGGTCAAAATGCATAGAATCGGTCTCTTTTTGTGAACTAACAAAAACTGTTATAGAGTTTAAGTAGGTAAATTGGTTGTCGTAGATTTTGATTTCATAAAATATTCCGAAGATGGATGAAGTTTAAATTTAAAATAAAATAAGAGCTGACAATGTATTCCACTCTCAAAAACTAAAAAGAAAATATATTTGAAATTATGATTGGCCTGTATTAGTAATTAGAGCATGATTAGCGTTCTTGAAAAGGCCGCGCCATAGTTTAAGCGGTTAGTCTCAGGCTTCCCACCGCGGTGGTCCGGGTTCGATCCCGGGTCTGGTCAAGTGGGATTTGTGGTGGACAAAGTGGTGCTGGGGTGGGATTTCTCCGAGTACTTCGGTTTCCCTTGCCAATCTTCATTCCACCAAATTCTCTATCATCATAATCACCCTAGGCAGGCTACAATAGGCCAATCAGTGGCCGCCGTGCCGAATGGGCCCAGTTGGACTCCACCCCCCATTAAGCGAATAAAAAAAAGAATTTTCTTGAAATCAGGCAAGACGTCCACTTGCTTCCACAGAGTGGGAAACTTCTCTTGTAACAAACTAATATTAAAATGAGATTCGAAAGAGGGGCAAAATCTCTGAGAAACCTTCAATGGTAAAATTTGGGATTTCGTCTGAACCGACACACTTCGGATGGCTCAGACGTCGAGTCGCCTGCTTAATGTCAGAGTATTTTTTTTCAATTCGCTTAGTGGAGGGTGGAGTCCAACTGGGTCCACTCAGCACGGTGGCCACTGATTGGCCTATTGTAGCCTGCCCCGGGTGATTATGATGATGGAGAATTTGGTGGAAAAAGATTGGCAGGGGAACCGAAGAACTTGGAGAAAACCCNACTAGAGAAAATAAAATGAGCACTGATGAACTGAGATAAATGTCGAAGAGCAATGATCCGCAAAGTCTTGAACAATATAGTGTGGCTGTGTTATTAAACTGTTGAAAATTTAATAATAACAATAATTATTATAATAATAAATACGATGGAAAAACGAATTAACGACAGGAAGGAGAGGAGAAATAGAATAACAAAGGAAAGCGTGTGATAAGGGAAAGGAACACAGCAACAGTGACTGAAAGAAATTAGTTGGCTCATAAACATCTTATTATAAACATTGAGAATGTTGAGATCATGGTTGCAGTCATAAATAGCGGCATGATGAATCACAGGTAGCGTCAAACCAGATAAATCTGTCTCTGTTTCTGCTTATGGCGATAATAGAGATGGTCGGAAAGACGGTCATTTCAAAAGATACATTTCTCTCGCGCTTTGTTAAATCAGGGAATCTCGTGAAAATTCATGATCTTGTCTGCCTCAGCGTCTCGGGGTTTCTGGCGTCGATTCGCATGGCGCTAGGGTACAACTTCCGACTGATATCGTAAAGTTGAGAAGGCGACAGAACACTCCGCTTATCGCCTTCAAGCGTCACGGAGTAATTTACAGTACAATATATAGCTCTACTCATTTGAGCTTTGTACATAATTTGAATTGTTCTAACCACTTTCATTTGCCGAGGACTTTACTCTAAATCGAAAACACGTAACACCTGGCTCGGTTTGGAAAACATTAAAGACGTAACTAATACTTATTTCACAGGTCGTTTCCAGTAGCTTTATAAAGAGTCTTCTGTGAAGGCGTATTCTGACTTCAGTGTTTCTGCCGTGCCACTCTGGACGGCCACATGTGAGCTAAGAGACAAATACATTCAGGTAGGTGAAACTGACAAGATCTTAAAATGTTTTGCGTTATGGTGTTAAGGCAAGATGGTTATAACCACAGAAAACAGATCCTATAGCACACATAAATATTACACAGGGCTACTATAACTGATTTTCGGTTTTAAAACGCTATATTTTCCAAAGTATTACACGTAAAAATATGATTGATATATAAAAAGCACCGTAAACGCACTACGTTTGTATTGTGTGCACCAGTTGGCAGCACGAGTTCAGTGCCTTTACAAAATGGCGACAAAGCAAGAAAAGAGGAATATGCGAGATGTTCGTCTGTTATAGCAGTGCAACTCGCATTCAAAAGAGAGTACGGAAATAACCGCCGTGTAAACAAAGCATTTTGCGGTGGTATCGGCAATTTAAGGACACGCTGGATTGGTCGTGTTGGTGAGGATGACGTAGCTCTGTTTACTTCGCCCCCCACATCACCTGATCTAACGCCTTGTGACTTCTTCCTTTGGGGGTACATTAAGGATCGTGTTTACGTACCCCCACTGCCAAGAACACTAGTAGAGCTGAGGGAACGCATCGATGCTGCAGTGATGACCATTGACAGGATGATGCTACAAAATGTGTGGAACGAGCTCGACTACCGCCTGGACGTGTGTCGTGTGACCCAAGGGGCACACATAGAACATTTGTAGAGCGTGAAGAAACCTTGGTGAGTTTACGGTTCTTTTTATATATCAATCATATTTGTATGTGAAATGCTTTGGAAAATATAGCGTTTTAAAAACGAATGAATCATTTATAGTAGCCCTGTATTATGACATGAGACCTGATAACTAGAATAAGGGAGCCAGAGAAATGGCCACCGTGTAAAAACGCAACAATAATAGTCATCTGTAAGCTACGCACCTACGCACCTACGCAACACTGAAAGAGTTGTTTTCGATGCAGTCTGCGATGAGAGCATGTAAAGGGACAGCGGAACGCCTCGAAAGGCAACAAGCAGAATTCATGAAAAATCATTAGACTGAACATGTTCGCAATATAGCATAAGACAAAGCCGGACACAGGCAATATAAGAGACTTAAACTTGGCGGTGGTCAAGCTTACGACCGCTCTAGTGACTATGCTGCCGTTGTAGCATGAGAAACGTAAGATAGACATTCTTTGCTCTCCAAAGCCTGTACTGACAGAGGACTTATATACTGCAAAAGGAAGAGTTTTAAACAACATGCTTTATGTGTGATACGTATACTTGACAATGGCTAAGCATATTCATAAGAGAGAAACCCGTCCTCTCGTCAGAGAGGGTGTTACATAAGGACTATGGGGCAGGCGTTGTTACATAAAAATGTCTGGTCGTGATCCTCAAGTGGTTTGGCGCCAAGACGAACATAGTGGCCGTAAATGCCAGTCGGAAAGTAACTCTGACTCTGACTCTGATTCGGAAGCCAGTCGAGAATTGACACCTGAAGCTGGAAGCTGACAGTTGGAAGCCAGTTTATTTCGGCTTGAGAACTAACAGCTGAAGGAGGTAACAACTGAAACCAGCCGTCAGAATGTGAGAGTGGCGTGAGACGGTCGCCAGCCGGCAAGGACCTGATCCCGGAAGCAGAGAAACGCCCAATTTTGGAAGCCGTTACCAAGTAACATGAATAAGGACGTCTATGTGTGATAGTAATTTATAAATTGTAGTCACGAGTTCTGCGTTAAAGTGTTCAATAAATACATTTATTAATCCAAATCTAGTCACTCGTCGCTTATAGCAAGAAAATACACAAAACAATAATGTACAAGTATCGCATTTCAGAGTCAGGTATTATCTTGCCTTTACTTTGTTCAAAATTCATCATATACATGTAACTACGTTTGTAGATCACAATGAGATCTATAGTTTACATAATGCGCCAACAGTTGGCGCATTTATCATTTTTTAAGGAAACGGATGTAGTGTTACTTGAACTAAATTTACGATACGGGTTAGAATGGATTGATGTGAATCAAATTAACCACATTTTAATGTAGATCTCAAACATCGAATGTAAAAGAATTTCATTCAGAAGTTTCGGAGATGGAACATGCTTTCATTCGCTTCGTCAAGAATAACATAAATATACTCGTATTAGGTTCTGAAATTGTAATTATCCCTTTCCTGTCATGAAGAGCATGAGGAGACTCAAGAAGTTTTCATATCCTTTAAATTCCAGTCAGTTTAAGGCCTTCATTTGTATATCTGACATATTTTCCTTAACCGGAATATTTATATTTTAGTTTCTGAGTACACAGATTTGAAACTGCTCTGAATTAGTATTAAGGTAGGAAGTTTTTAGTTTTCAGGTAGTTTAATCAGAAATTAAAAATGTGGAACCGAGAATTCAGTGAGAAACCGAGTTACGAACAAGAACTTCAGACTTTGTAATATCCAGATACGTATCAAAAGGTACATACCGAAGCCAATATTGCCATTACAAAACATTACGGTGTTCCATTCAAACCTCCCACATTTTATCAGATCTTAGAACAGAAAGTATCAATGGTAGGAAAATGAAGCTACAGGAAATGCAAGAACAACTAAATAAATGTATTTGACACACTAATAAACCTCTACATGTAGCACGAACAGTATCCGATCTGTATTCAGTTTCTTGCCACGTTCTTTCCAACATGTCCATTGGTACAGTAGCAATCGTTTCACGGATGCGGGCTCGTAAATCTGGGAGGTCATTCACTGGAGGCACGAACACACGGTCCTTCACGTAACCCCAGAGGAAGAAATCGAGCGGAGTGAGGTCCGGTGAACGTGGTGGCCACCGAATTGGTCCGCCGCGTCCAATCCAGCGATCTTGGAAGGTGGCATTAAGTGACCTACGAATATCCAGACCCCAGCGTGGGGGGCTCCATCTTGTTGGAACATTATGTTAGGCTACAGATCGGCTACTTGGGGATACAGGTACTGTTCTGATATGTCAAGGTATACGCGGCCAGATACTTTAGCTCCACCGAAGAAAAACGGAAATAAAATTCTTTCCGTTTTTCTTTCATCTAGTGTTAATTGTAATCCACAATCTATCATAATTTGTTCGCAATGATTAATTAAAATGTGGGAGGTTTAAACGGAACACGCTGTATTTAGGAAGTTGTGATGCAGGAATCTTGCTACTTCATGTACGAGGGTTGGAACTTTAATAGTGGCAACACTGCTGTAGAGACGCCATGCAACGGAACCAAATAATGTCGTTTATACCACACGTTAGTTACATACCTACCTTACCTCAGAGCAAATGGACTCTCCCTTCCCACATCACGCGCATGCGCAGCGACGAGAAGAACAGAGCGTCGTGTTAGCTGACGGTCTAATGTTGTGTTGTCACGATGTTTTCGAAACAGGAACAAAGGAGCTGGATAAAGATTGAATGTGCCAGAGGCCGTACAGCACGACAGTGTCATCAAGGTCTTCAAGAGGCTTGCGGAGAATCTGCATTGCCTTACAGAACAGTGGCAAGGTGGGACGCCAAAATGTGTCAGATATGCGTCGGCCAGGTCGTCCTAGCGTCAGTGAAGAAGAAGTGTATGCTCTTTCCGCGTTACTGGAGAGTGATCGACGCCATACGATTCGTGAGCTGGCCCGAGAGACAGGATGAGGGCATACGACTGTGCTTCACTTTCTGAAGGAACGCCTGGGCATGAGAAAAATTGCATCACGATGGGTTCCGCATGATTTGACGGAAATGCAGAAATGGCTACGATATGACGCTGCTCGTAACCACTTGGAGCGCTATGAGCGGGAAGGAGAGGTTTTCTTACGCCGTATCATTACGCTGGATGAGACATGGGCCAAATCGTATGAGCCACAAATGAAACGTCAATAGAACGAATAGCGTCATTATGGGTCACCGCGACACTTTCTGCAGAACCTACCCATCATTTTGCAGGACAGTGCCCAGCCGTATGCAGCGCAAGCTGTGGCTGATTTGATCGATTGATGGGGCTGGGAAGTGCTGTACCATCCACCATACTCCCCGGACTTAAGCCCTTGTGACTTCGACTTGATTCCTAAGATGAGGAACCACTTCGTGGCATTCGCTTCAGAACTGTTCCAGAGATTCTTCAGGCAGTAGACCGCTCCATTCGAACTATCAACACAACAGGCGCCTCTAAAGGTATCGTACGACTTACACACCGTGGCAACGGGTTGTACACAATGCTGGTGACTACACTGAAGGAGAGTAAAACTTCGAAACATGCATCTATTTTGTATCAGTTGTAAATAAATAGTTGCCACTATTAAAGTTCCAACCCTCGTATATGGCGGATTTTTCTAGTATTTCATTTGTTTTATGCCTTAAATTTAAAATAAACCTATAATGAAAATACTTAAACAATTTTAATACTTCGAACCTGAAATTACATGAAATACCAGACCGTAACCTCGATATCTTAATGGTAGATTCAGGAAGGAGCAGTACATATTCTACTACACAACTGAACTTCGCTACAAATGTAAACCTAAAAACATTTCTGCATTTAACATTTGTACATTTTCGATATACAGACAGACACAAACCCACAGACAGACAGAGAGAGAGCAAGGCTGATGTTATGGGATAGACATAATCTTCGAAACAGACTGAAACATAATACGGGCCTCTACAATGTCAGACAAGTTGATGCACTTTGTCCTATTATAGGAAATATTTGTTCCAGTTCCAGGATGAGTCTGAACTTCACAGTACCTTATGACACTGGTGGAATGTTGCACAAGTTTGAGTGGTTAGATTTTACTTTCTTTGGGCTCATGCTGGGATCGTCAACATTAATTGGCGTCTATTTTGGCTTCTGTGGCAAGAAAGAAGATACCCCAAAGGAGTATCTGCATGGTGGAAAGACAATGGGCACAATTCCAGTGGCTGTGTCACTTGTATCCAGGTCAGTAACTGAAGCGCTAGAACGCACTGAGAAATTACGCGTAAAGTACGCTCCCGCCCAATAATATTACGCTGAACGGCTAGCTTACTAACCAATCAATAACTAACAGGTTAGCAGATGAACGGACCAATCACCTACTTACCTACCTATCTCAGACGCCCTTACTTGAGAATCATCGTTAAAATAACGATATCGTCTCCTCTATTTTGACGCTACAACTCACGCAGAATTTTGGTCTTCTCAACCACACCTTTCCATTTGGTCCTGTCCTGGACTGTTATCTTCTAATCTGGTACCATCATCTTCTTAATGTAAACTTTAACATCTTCCTCCAATCGTATTTTCGGTCTGCCCAATGTTCTTGTACTTAATGGTATCAATGTGTACAGGCTTTTAACTGATCTGTTAGTTGGCGTTCGCAAAAGAACGATATTCATTGTGATACTGTTATGGTAGCAGATTGATTACAATCTTCTTCATGGATGGCGCTATCCTGCATCTGTCAAGTGCAATTCGCAACCTCATGACCTACACCTTTAATGTGTCTTCCCTTTACAAGGAAATACCCAATTTTTATAAGTGCGATTCTGGGAGCATGTAACTCTCTCACGAAATAGTTATTCATGTTACTGGAGACGAAAGCATAAATAAGAGCTTCGTTATTCCTACTCCTCATCAGACATTAATAATATGACAGAATAAAACATGAGATTGGAGCGGAATGTAGCAGGCATATTCCAGAGGTAAAATTTATGCAAAATTTCAGTTGGTAAGAAATAGAAGAGCCGGTCACGGTAGCCGAGCGGTCTAAGGCATGTACTGTCTTCGCTCGCTTGGAAACCGGGATCGTGTGTTCGAAACCCACTCAGGGCATGGATGTTTAGTTTGTGTGCGTTTTTCTGTGTTTGTGTATAGGTAGAGGCCTTGCGACGAGCTGATCACCCGCCCAAGGAGTCCCACCGAATGTGTAAGATCTAGAAAAACCCGAAGTGAAAGAAGAAGTTCATGGAGATAGGCCTAGGTCCACTGGGGCTGTAGTGCCAAGGAAAAAAAAAAGAAATAGAAGAGCAGACCACGGACGTAGAATTATAGTATTAAAATGAATCTCACATCCTACATATTTAACCCATCTTCAGTTTATAAGGAAATACGAGCATGTATTATAATGAATCTTGAAGAAACAGGGTGGGAGGATGCGGACTGGAGTTATGCGGCATAAGTGTGAGACTGAGACTTTTGTGAACACACTAATGTAGTTTATGATCGTCTAAAATGCAAGGAATTTCTTGGTTGATTGATAATTAGGTTCTCAAGAAGGACTCTGGTCCATGAAGAAAGTTAATTATACTTATTCAGTGCGGTATGCAAACTAAAATCTCAATTGCTTTAGCGCCGCAAACGTATCGGTAAACTGTGAAGAAAGCAGTCTTCTGGGATTTGGCACCGTGTATATGTGGTGTTAACCGACGTTTCGGAGGAACGTATCGCCTCCATCTTCAGGGTAGAAGAAAAAGTATAAGAAATCTGCNCTGTTTGTAGTAACTCACTTGCAAATCAAAGAAATATGTTCTAGAAATGTTTTTCATTCGTAGAATTATCTCTGAAATATATGATTATAGGTATTTCCAAGTCATAATAAAATATTTTACTCACAAAAATATTTTCTTTAAAATGTTAGTGTAATTAATATTAAGGTAGCAAAAGTCCCGTATCGTATGTGACGTACCAACAGTTAACAGTCGACATAAACGCAATTCCTCTTTTCATTTTAATTCAGTTTCCATGTAGAATGCATCAGTACGAATCCTGCATCGAACCAGCATTTATTATAGCTGAATAAAACAAATAGCTGATCATATACTAAAGATATTAATTTATTAGGAGAATATATGAATGCCTATTTTCCCTCATGTTTATTCTGGTATTTAAAATGATTAATCCATATATTTCGCTTCGTAAAATATTATAACTTCTCTGTAATGTTTATGACATCACAATCGTTCTTTTTAAACGCGTGACATTCGTCCGTATTAATCAAATCGTAGCAGAATGAGACAAATTATCCACCAGTTACTGTCATCAAAACGGAAAAAGTGATACAGTTTCATAATACAGATATTCGAAAGCAAGTAGCCCGTGTTTTAACATCAGCAAGTTTTCTCAAAATATTTGAACTTTAGACGTGGCAGGCTGCATTGGCTAGGATGTAGGGCCAACTCGCACATTGTGTAGGTTTTTGGATGTCACTGGACCTGTGCTTCTCTTACTGGAAAACTGATCTATGAGTCTAGTTATTCTCGTTTCGGTTTATATAAAGACCACATCCATTACACCTAAAATATTTCCACGTCCTGTTGTGTTATGGCGCAAACTTTGAATCACGTTAAGATGAAACAGACCTTTGGAAACACCCTTCTGTATTAAATCCGAAATAAACAAACTTAGTCTCTATTAAGGATCTTATTGCACGTTTCCGGATGAACTCATCCCTGGAGATACGAGAATGAATCCCGTCGCTAAGCAGTGAATTCTGTGCTTCACCTGTTTCTTTCCACGCGAACGAGCAATGTAAGTCGGCTGGCAATATTAACTTACTTCTGCGCTAGACGGAGGTGAAACATCACTTCAAGACTTGAATCGCAAGGAAAGACACACAAAACACAGTAACATGAGATTGCAAGGGACGAGAAAGCCCAATATATGACAACCTGGCTTTCTGCAAAAGTACAAAATTTAAAGAGGGAAGGAAATGTGACAAATACTTTAAAGTTTCCCCTATGCTTAATTAATTAAACACCACGCCATGAAGACAAATGGGGGTAGTGAAAGTATAGATCAAAGATTTTTAACCTCGGCAGTAGCTGGAGGAGATTCACGCCCCGGCCGCTTTACAACCGGGGAAAGAGCCTCCGGTTCCCATTGGTTAGGAAGCTCCGTTGGCACCAGAGCCTGTCTGGAAACTGTGGAGGAGAGAAAAATCTCTTGCCCCTTCCAGGAATCGAATCCCAATCTCCGTCTCTATACCGAATGGGCTATCCCGTTTCCTTAAGTTGCCAAATATTAATGCAATACAGCTACTTAAGAAAAGTAGTCTGCTACTGAAAATTGTAGGGAGATGAGTAAAAATAGTTCTAAAAGTTTAGATTGATAGCAAATGTTTCTGCTTGCTTCCATTGGAAAATTTACGTTCCCTCTTTCGAAAAAAACAGTCTGCTGGCACCCGATATTAAGTGGACACCAAAGCACCTTTATCGACTTGATGAACTCAGCAGATTCAGTCTATACGTAGCCACCTTATGACGTAGATCTACGGGTCCGGCTGCTACTCCATGGTACTTTTAAGCAGGACCACTGAGCAGTATGTATCTAGTTTAGTCTTTTTAGTTTCTTGTGATGAGATGAGACAGAATCCACTTGGTACATCGGTCATTAACTGGCGTAATGTACCATGATGGTAGATGATGAAGAATGTGGAGAAGTCTGTGGAATGAGAATTGGCAGGGGAAACCTAAGTACTAGGAGAACGCCTTCCCCAGTGCCACTTTGACCACCAGAAATCCGACATGACCGGATCAGAGCTGGAACCCGGGCTGGTGCGGTGTGAAGCCGGCGACTAACAGCCTGAGTTATGGCACGACCTCAAACTGACTTAAGCCTCTAGGAAGGCAACCGGATTGAACTGACTTTGAACAGTGCATAATGCCATATCCCTGTGACGACAGTGTTCAGCCTTCTTGTTAGATAAATGAGAATGTTTCTAATACATGTATTACTCCATGGCGCATTTGAACCACTACTTTTCGAAAATGGAGGATATGTTTCCGTTTTGAATAACGCAGCCACATTTCGTCACTAACTAAAGTTCGACCTCGTAGTCTAGAAGGGAAGAGGACAACTGATGACAGTTTAGTACGAATATGTAAATACGAAATGGGATATAAAGTCCCTCAGTAACATCCTTGTGTAATTATGACTGAGTAATGGCAGGAAAGGTCACGGTAGCCGAGCGATCTAAGGCAAGTACCGTCTTCGCTGGCTCGGAGGCCGGGTTCGTCGGTGTGTGTATGCGTTTATTCTGTTTATGTAGTCCTGTGTTTAGGTAGAGGCCTTTCGACGAGCTGATCACCCATCCAAGGAGTCTTGCCGTGTGTAAAAATGATCAGTGAAACTGAGAAATAAGCCCTATGCTCCAAATTGGGAGCGAAAGGGGAAAAATAGCGGAAAATGTGCCCCTATATAGTAAGCATAAATAAGAATATAAACACTATGAAAATATGTCCTTCAATCAGAAAAAAAATTATAAATATAAAGTTATCCCTGCAACACGCCGTGGAGGCCCACAGGGTCGTGAAACGTCGAGGCTCCCATATTTTCTAGACAATCGGCTCATAGATGGCGGTAAGATTGTCAGCTACTCTTTACCCCCTAGGAATACTCCTGGTACTCAATTCTGTTATAGACTGAGTCGACCCCAGGGCCATACTGCGGCTGGAAGGATTAGTTCAATTGACAAATCCAATGACTTCATCGGGAATCGAACTCCGCGACCTTCCAGGTTGTAGCATAGTGCCTCAACCAACTACGCTAAAACTTTATACTTTTAATAAATGATAGACTCACACTATAGATAAAATGTAGTTAGTTTATTAAGATGATGTGTTTGCTACTCACGCGCGAGTGTAAGAGTAAGCGAATGTTCACGCGTGTCTCAGCAGTAGACGGGTGCGTGCCCTGAAACCTTCCTTGGAGTGACGTTGATATTATACCGGTATTTATTGGAAACATTCGGTATATACACCGGTATAAACCTGCCATTAAGTCAACATATCTTACTGTATCCCGCAAGGCTCACGGGACATTGCTCTTTACGTAAGACAAGCATTTTACTTTAATAGGCATCTGCTATCTCTGTCTTTGGAGGCAAATATAGTAATCATATACCGAGTTTCGAATGATAAGAATAAAACGGGAATATAGAAGCTAAATTAAATTTGCTCAAAAATAAATATTTCAATCCGAAATTTATTTGGAATCGATGTGAGTAGATTAATCAGAGGAAGATAAGTGACAAGGCACGGATCTCTCATTTAGAACAAACTGCACTAAGAAAACTAATTTAGACTATCTGCAACGTCTCTCTACTCTCAGCAAGCATACAAGTTCTGAAATACATGCTTTTTACCAAACGTATGTAATATAATGCCGGTCACGGTAGCCGAGCGGTCTAAGGCATGCACTGTCTTCGCTCGCTTGGAAACCGGGATCGTGGGTTCGAATCCTACTGAGGGCATGGAAGTTTGTGTGCGTTTTTCTGTGTTCGTCTACAGGTAGAGGCCTTGCGACGAGCTGATCACTCGCCCAAGGAGTCCTATTATATGTGTAAGATGTAGAAAAACGGAAGTGAACGGAGTTCATGGAGGTAGGCCTAGGCCCACTGGGGCTGTAGTGCCAAGGAAAAAGAAAAAAAAAGTAATATAATGAATTTTTTCAAAGGTTCAGCATAAGGGTTCTGGATAAAAATCTCATGCGCTTATAAAGCTTAAAGTGAATAAGACATATATATCCATACTCACAGGGAGTCCATACATATATAATATTTCAATTTACAAAATATCTGCTTAAATAATTTAGTGGTATGTCTTCGTTCAACATTGAAAATGTCCGTAGTTTACCTCTATTAAAGTATGATGTATTATTTAAGCAGAGATTTTTATATTAAATTTTTATGTTTTTTTGGGGGGGGGCTCTGTGTATTAAACGGGAGCAGTCAGAAAAGATCATGGTGAGGATGAAGGATGACAGATTATTACCTCATTTTATTCCAGTTACATTGCAGTATCATCTAATAATTACATTCTACATCAAAATTAAAATTAAAATTATAGTCTATTTTAATCTATAATATCTGTTAATCTACAGCGTCAGAGAAAGTTATGTTTCGCGTGATTCTCAGGATAAACACTAATTAATACCCTAAACAGCATTAGACTGTTGGCGCTTGTAACAGAAACGCAGTCAGCATTTTTAAGGCAGTAGCTGAATTTTTAAATATTATGTAGAGGTAATTCGTATTTCAAAGGGTTAATATACTTCCCCGTAATATGAAACTATAGGATCCGAAAGAAATTATATCTGTTGACTCACTTACATGCATTTACCTAACCAAATTTGTTGCCAAAATATATTGAATTATACAAAGCAAATTTATTGTGTTTTAAGCTGACAGATGAGCAAAAATCAATTGTTACATTTCAGCGAGCTTCTAACTTCATTGAGACAATAAAATTTTAAGGTTCTAAAATGTCCTTTAAAATGAATGGAACAGCTTGTAACGATAAAATCGTAAACTCGTAACTTTAAGTTCAGTCTGCTTTCTCCGTCTTCATTGTGTGTGTGTTTGCGAGAGAGAGAGAGAGAGAGAGTTAAGTTCAGAGACGCGTCAGCATGCATGGCCACATGCATCTTCCTGTTTCAGGGGGAAGAGTAAGACAATAGGTTCGTCTGAAACGTGGGTACCGCTCTGCCATACTCACAATGTCACATCCGTGGAGACTATAATCTTGACACTCACGATCATGAGAATTTCATGCCTCACAATATCTAACCTTGCTAATGTATCCTTTGGTCATTTTCAAGTAAGCAATATTTATTTTGAAGGATGCCGTCTTCTCGGATGTGGCGCCACCTGCTCACGCTGGTTCCTCGCTCGCGGATTTTTCTACTCTGAAGATGAGGCGATGCGTTTCTCCGAAACGTCAGTTTACACAATATGTACACGGCGCCACGTCCCAGAAGACGGCATTCTTCATAGTCACCACTGTTTAAACCTCAAATCCTACAATATTTATTTTATTCTTTTCAAAGTCAGGCCCAATCTTTTTAGAAACTACAAGTTTTCTCTTTGAAAAAAAAAGTTACATTCGTTTTCTAGTGGCCTGCATTGGATGGATGCATTTTATGCCTCACATATTTTCGTTATATGAATATTTAAATAAATAGGGTAATTCTGAAACAGTGTACAATTCGCGGCATATGAAGAAATTACAAATATACTTCGCGTAATTTCACGACACTCATAACTTCTGAACTTCTTAGAGCACTGTTCAATTCGTTGTGAAGTAACGAAGGCATAAAGACCAATAAAATTAAATAAATTTCATCTACTAAATTGCGTGTATTCGGTAACTACATTACTGTCTCAACTGAAACTACATAATCCTCAAATATAAAACTCGAGGATGTAAAAAATGTTATTCTTATCTTTCCTTCAGCACGATATCTGGGATCACAGTAATAGGCGTACCATCCGAGATCTACATGTATGGAACCCTGTATTGGCTAGTGTGCCTTTCCGCGGTCTTAACTGGGATAATCAACAGTTACTTCTATCTGCCTGTGTTCTACGAATTGCAGCTCACGTCTACGTACGAGGTAAGTCATATCGCAGATCTGGGATTCAGAATCCAGAAGTTCTCTATCATAAAACAATGTCCAGCCAGAGTCTATATGAAAACAATTACGATACTGCCTTCAACATGTGAAGTGGTCAGTTTCACCTGAGCCGCGAGGATAATCTCGGTTAGCAGACCTGAAAAGTGTCTGTAGCCAGCTACGTATGGACTTACTTACTCACTCATGGAGCTGAGCCCTCCTGACCAGCCAATTCTGCAGCTACTCAAGAATTTCCCAGCATTTTATGGAACCCCAAGGTTCATTACCGTGTTCACAAGAGCCCTCCACTGGTCCCTATCCTGAGCCAGATCAATTCAGTCCATACCATCTCGTCCTATCTCTCTAAGAGCCATTTTAATATTGTCCACCCACTTACGCCTTGGTCTTCCCAGTGGTCTCTCTCCTTCTGGCTTTCCCACCAATATCCTATACGCATTCGTCTTCTCCTCTATTCGTGCTACATGCCCTGCCCACCTCATACTCGCTGACTAGAGCATTCTAATTATACTTGGAGAAGAGTACAAGTTATGAAGTATGGACAGGTTCTTAAAAGCTCAAATGAGGACAGAAATTCATGGCACGTAGCTTTAAGCAACTCTAGTCAATGAAGAAAGCAGTCTTCTGGGATTTGGCACCGTGTAGATGTGGTGTTAACCGACGTTTCGGAGGAGCGTATCGCCTCCATCTTCAGGACTGCAGACAAGCAGTCTGCTTGTACCGGTTCTCACGGTCTCTTCGTTTGCGGATTTATTATTTTTCCTTCTACCCTGAAGATGTAGACGATATGTTCCTCCGAAACTTCGGTTAACACCATATCTACACGGTGCCACATCCTAGTAGACTTCTTTCTTCATAGTCACGGCCGTGAAAACCTCAAATCTTACAACTCTAGTCAAATCTACAAATCATAATAATCATTCATGTTTGTTCAGTGTTTTTTAAAGTTATGAGTTTGATAACATCTAGACATAATGAAATGTTTTAATGTTAAGCTAAGTTTCTGATATCAGATATATTTAATCACATGATATCCTACAGAGCCAAACCAAAACGAAAACGAATCATCTTTGACTACACCTCTTCCTGAATATCACATGAAATATAATGAGTCCCGTAAACTCAGTGTACTCTTTGTTTCCTAGTACTTGCAGCTACGGTTCAACGCAAGCGTCCGGAAAATGGCGTCCATTTTGTGTACCATCTCTCTACTCCTCTACATCCCGATTGTTGTGTACGTCCCGGCATTAGCACTCAGTCAAGGTCAGTTACTTCCTTTGCACGCGAATAATTCGTGACAATGTGTTGTTAAATGTAATTATGAGAAGATTTTTGCAAAACATGAGTGCATCTTGTTTTCCATTTCAGAGGCCAAAGATCTGATAACTGCACTTAATGAAATTGCGATTTAAAAGTGGTATATGTGTGGGGATTTGCAGCACAATTTATTTCTTCTGGGATTTCCTTTTTATTTCTCGTGTTCTCCATTCTCCTTCTATAATGTTTGGCAATTACGGTTCCCCTTTCAACCATCACATCGTTCTTCTGTCCTCTCTTAACTTGCCCTGCTTGGTGTATGCATATTAGTCTGCCGATGTTGTCGCACGCTTTTACCTGCCGACATCACAGAAACATTTTATTTTGTAACACAGCTCATGGGCATTTACGAGCTTAGCTAGATAAGGAATATGTAATTAAGATAAACTGCGCATTGTTCATTATGACGAGATAGGTTATATAGCTCCTGGAATTGGATTTAGCAGTTTATTACACATGTTGTGTGATAAACATTTGCTGAAAGCATTATTCTCACCTCAGATCACGGTGTCTCTTCATGATGCGTTTCAACTGTAAACTTGAAAAATGTGATTATTCATTCATAAATTGAAACATACGTATAAAGACTAGAGAACGAGAGAGAGATTGTCTGAGCACTAGCTGCAATTGTCAGTGCAAGTGTCATAAGACATTCATACCGGGAAAAACATCAAGGTTTTCTCATGGTATTTTGCCACTGGGACGATGAAAATAATAGTATTAAGTTATCTTCTTAGTTTTGGTACCTTCTTTCATGACAGTACATCACGTATGTCACTTATCACATTCTGTATTCTGATAAACGGTCTCTTTATTTATCCTTTCTTTCCTTTTTTTTGGTGTTCATATATCTTTAATATCCACATGCTTATTTTCCTCACTTCGATCTCTATTTGTCTGTCTACCTGTCTGTCTGTCTATTTATCTATGTATTCCTATTGCTTCAAATTGGAGCACAAGGCATCCGTGAAAGGCTTGTTGCACTTTTGTTTCTTAATCTCAGGCAGTCGGTAGGATTCCTTGGACGAAGGATCAGCCTGTTATAAGGACAGCAGCTACGCACTACCACACAGTAAATGCAGACATCCAAGCCTTGAGTGGGATTCGAACCCAGGATTCCACCGTTCGAGTGAGCGAGGCCAGTTCATGCCACTGTGATCGACCCTCATTTCGTTATAGAAGCATATTCTATGGTTTCTTATATACGTTACCCGAGTGTTCATCGAAAATTTCCACACACAGCTGTCATACTGGCTCAATGGGTTGGATGTTCATTTTCTATTGTAAATTTGGGACTGGACGCTAGAGGTATTCGTTCAACGTAAAAACTCAGAAATATGCATGAAGAAGATAACATTTGTTGTTCTCTGGTATTTTCCTTTCATTATTATTCATTCTTCATTTCTTATCATCCTTGCTCTGCGATTTACATTTGTGCATGAAGGTTCAGCCATTTTAGGCGGGTCTCTCGTCACCTCGGCATGGCGCGTCCTTAGGTTGCGGATGGAGGAGACGACCTCCAGGTATGGAGGGTAGATGCGAATATATTGAATAAGCATTTGCGGACAGCCGACAAGGGGTGGTGCTCCAGCTTGAGGGTTGGGAGTGGGGCTAACAAATCCTGACCGTATAAAATAAGCTTGTTACAAAGATCACAAGAAGCCTCGGACCTGGACGGATTATGTGGATAAACGACCTAAGCGAAAGATTTGTTGCTTGGAATGTTAGACTTATGTATAGGGCAGGTTCGCTCAGAGCAGTGGCGGAGGAGGTCTCAAAATATAAGTTAGATTTAACTGGAGTACAAGAGATTAGGTGGGATGGAGGTTGCACCGAACCAGGAGGCGAATATACATTTTTTTATGGAAAGAGGAATGAAAATCATGAAATAGGTAAAGGTTTTTTCATACATAAGAGAATTGTATCAGCAGTTAAGAGGGTAGAGTTCGTTAGTGATAGGATGTCATACATAATACTAAGAGGTCGCTGGTGTGATATCATCGGTCTGAATGTTCACGCCTCAACAAAGATAAAATTGATGATATAAAGTACAGTTTCTAAGACGAACTAGAATATGTCTTTAATAAATTCCCGAAACACCATATGACAATTTTATTAGGAGATTTTATTGCCAAAGTAGATAGAAAGGACATTTTCAAACCAACAATTGTGAATGAGGTTTTACACGAAAAAAGTAATAACAATGGAGTTGCAGTAGTAAAATTTGCCACGTCCAAAAGTCTGACTGTCAAAAGTACGATGTTCCCCCATCGTAACATTAATAAATTTACTTGGATATCTCCTGATGGAAATAAGCACAACCAAATTGACTATATTTTGGTAGACAGAAGATGGCATTCAATTATACTTGATGTCCGGTGATCCAGGGCAGCAGATTGTGTTACTGACCACTACCTGGTGGTGGCAACGGTAGGGAAAAACTGGCAGTGGTTCAGGTTTCGTAACCATGCTAGATTACTAGTCAAATATATGTCTTTCTGGGCTTCCCATGAGGACGGCGTCCATCATTGTCCCAACAAATCAGATCTGAAAGTCTTGTACTGCTCATCTGAAGACTAAATGTATCCAGCTCGTACCTCACAGTAAATATTTTAGTCCGACTTTAAATACTAACAGGCAAAGAGGTTAAGTGAAATAATCGCTGGTTACTGTGATAATTGTACGAAATATGAATTACGTAGTACATCCTGTGTGCAAAATGAAAATTTTGTGCATGCTGAAACAGACTGTACATTAGCAACACTGGGCATTAAAATGTTAAGCGTCATCTGCTTTTGGTTACCGATGTGTTCAGATTTAAACATTGTAACCGCTCACTTCCTTTGTGCCCTTTTCGTTGTGCGCCACTCCACCACCGCTCACTTCTCTGGGTCCTTTACTTTAATCAGTAGAGCTGGGTTCCTATCTCAGGGTCTTTTAAGGGTCTGGCTCGGACAGGGCAGGAAGAACACTTCACTACAATCACCCACCTTTCGACGGCTGCACTTAGTAGTCCTTTAATCCCTTCCAGCTTTCTGCATACAACTGAATTTATTAATAATACTATTGAATTGAACTGTACTTATACTATTTTACGGAAGGGCCGTAGTGGTAATTTTAGTGTCCGACTTTGCCTAAAGTAGTGTCAAGACTCCTCGAGGTGGAATGCCCTCTCTCTGAATTCTGAGGTCCACGAACCCCAGACTCCAAGAGAAATCCACTCCTCCACTTCTGCCATTGGTTAATTTTTCAAACTAGGAGGTTCCCTAAATTTTGAATTCCCAATCATGTTGCTCTGCTATGTGATTCTGGCAGATGCTGACCTGACGCTAAGGATGACAGCCCCTTGATGCATTACGGTCAGGGTGTGAGGCTCCGGCCGTCCCACTTCTAAGTTATCGCTGTCCCAAGCTGTCAGCTCTCATTTTCTCAAAGCCTTTCCGACGTTGCTGAAACTGCCAGAATTCTAGGAAAGTACCAGATGTTACTTCCTGTTCACATAGCAAAACTTGAACTATGTCCCTTCCGCGTGTAAGAGCTGGCTATCTGCCGGATCTCTTTGTTTGTAATATTGTTAATCTTAACTTAATACAAAATTTAATTTTCACACAACACTCCTCCAGTCAGAATGGACGGTTACAACATAAACTTGCTTTTATCTTCCGCTAAATTTCAACCTTCTGCGACATTTCTGAACCTAGGAGTATTTACATATAAATGAGAAAAACGTGGAAATATACAGTTCGGACGGCTGTGAAATGCTACATTTCTTTTACGCCTGACACGTGTCTGCTACGTAGGTGTGGTATGCAGTGCTCTGTAAGTCGAGCAGTCTTGAACTCCATGGCAGAGGGAAAACTGGAAGCTTGACACAGCCTTCAATAGCGCACACAAAATACATCTTGTTCCTATATTAGAGACTTTCTTCTTCTTCTATTCCTGTAGCTCCAACTTGGAACACAGGACATCCTTGAAACGCTTCGTTTCATTTCAATATCTTAATCTTAGACGGTCCTTAGGATTCCGTGGACGGGAGATCAGCCTGTCGCAAGGCCGCTACTTATCATGAATACAGAATAAACACAGACTTCCGTGTCTTGACTGGGATTCGAAACAACAATCTCAGTGTTGAAGCGGACGAAGACATGCCTTAGATCACGGGGCCACCGTGAACAGCTGCAGCTGGAATAATGTATAAAAAATGTAATCAAATTTTGTCAGAGGATTCAAAGAACATATGTAAGAGTGCATACAAGCCCTTAGAAGGAATTAAATACTCAAAGAACACGTGTAAGGTGGCATACAGACTCTTAAAAGGAATTAAATAAGACTTGCGCCTCATAATTCTGGTAAACAAATGGGCCGCAGGCCTATAGTGACAGAAAATCTGTGAAGAAAGTCGTAAGATAAGTGCAGAATATAAATTATATTTCCCTTAAATGAAACTTACCAATCCAAAATCAGAAAGTCTCGTTAGAAGTTGATGTACATGCATCATGCGAAGTGCCATGAAAAGTGGTCGGTTTCATAGTTGGCGCGCTCTTATACGCAGACATGTAGAGAGACACTGCGAAAGTATTACGTGGTCTATAATGTGCTTCTTCCAGAATGTGTCTCAAAAAGACTAAATAATAAAATTGTCCATTTCCTTTAGTTTATTTTACACGTAACAGGAAACAAGAATCGCGCATCAAAAAGACACAATAAGAGTAACATCTGTCATTTTATCTCATTCGCAACGGCTCTATAACCCATGAATATTTTAGGAAATTTTAGAATAGGTTAATATCATCAGATTGTGCCTCATGTATATATGAGAGCTTGGTGAGAATCAGAAAGCGAAAGCACGAAAAGACAACACTATCTTCTGTATATCTGGTTCCAGGTACCGACTCGTTTAGGCCCTACAGAAAGACAATGCGTAAAATGTCAACATAATTTAGATATCAAGATATGAATGCATTTACGTCAAATGTGACTCTAACGATTGAGTAGACAATGAGCCTGTTATACCATCATCACATAACAATTATTATAACTGTCACGTGTAGTAGTGACTTCACGTATTCTCTGTGCTCCAAAGCTGGAGCAACAGGAAATAAAATGAAACCATTCTTTAACTTGCGGATTACCAGTCCGAACTTGTGAATTTGCGTGTAATATCTGAAACATTTTATATAGCTCGTCGTTTCATAATCTCCTTGTTTACTGATACCGTGACACAGAATCTATTATAATCTTTTCCTTTTGCGTTCAAGTAATAACTTTTGTCGTATTCTACAAACCTTGTTCTTGTATTTTTTTATATTTTTGTATTCTATTGATTTAATTTCAATACATTTTAACAAATAACACAATTTCGTTTACATTTCGTTGAGTAGGAAAATTGAACAACATTGCCTTTAAGACTGCTGCCTTCTGCACGACTTACCTCACATAACGTCCTGCGTCTCAAACCCATGGCAAGTGAGTAAAGAAGATTGGTCTAAGCGCAAGTCAAAACACGAACATACGAAATATTAAAGAGGAAAATCAAGGAAAAGCAGTAGTTCATGTAATTTTCCTGTACTAGTCTTCGGTCCTGTTGCCACAGAGGGAGCGGGGTCTTCGCCCGCTCGGATGCTAGGATCGTGGGTTCGAATCCCACTCAAGGCATAGATATTTGGTGTGTGTATGATTCTATTCTGTGTATTGTTCTGTGTTTAGGTAGCGGCCTTACAACGAGCTGATCACTCGTCCAAGGAGTCCTATCGTTTGTGAAAAATTATTATAGAACTGAAGAAGTCAAGGCACTGAATGGGCTGGAAGAGCCACTGAAAAAAAAAGGTCTTCCATCTTACTCCATAAACAACGGACTTAAAGAACGACATCGAATTTGATTATGTAATACTTCCTTGTGCCGGTCACGGTATCCGAGCGGTCTGAGGCATGTACTGTCTTCGCTCGCTTGGAAACCGGGATCGTGGGTTTGAATCCCACTCAGGGCATCGATGTTTAGTTTGTGTGTTTGCGTTTTTCTGTGTTTGTGTACAGGTAGAGGCCTTGCGAAGAGCTGATCACCCGCCCAAGGAGTCCTACCGAATGTGTAAGATCTAGAAAAACCGAAGTGAACGGAGAAGTTCATGGAGGTAGGCCTAGGACCACAGGGGCTGTAGTGCAAGGAAAAAAAAAATACTTGTACGGCGTAGGGTACCTAATTAGTACCTATTACTTGCATATTTCATTATTTTTATGGGATATCAATGCGGGTATTTAATCAGGAGAGCTGTTGAAAGAACCGAGTATAGTTTACATTAATTTATTACTCCTATACTGCTCTTGAGAGACCGAAGTATACCATGGGAATGTTCAATAAGTGATCAGCTTCCTCGGGTAGGTTTCGATCCTGGCAACTTAGAGCACAAAGTTAAAGTGGTTTTAAAATCGATGTTCCGTGCAGACCTAACTGCCTTCATTAAAATTATGAACATTCAACCTGTACTGCCGGTTAGGACATCCGGTCTCTGATTGAAGTTCGAATCGGAGACCACTCGAATAGGAAATAACTGAAATTTTGTAAAATATTCAATAATTTTTATACACGAGGAGAAAGTGTTTCTGGTATATTACTTTATCGGATCAACGGCAAAGAAAGATTTGGGTGACTGACATAAAGTTCTATCCATACGGACAGATAATCCAACAATTCATACGATCTTATTAAATGAAAGCCAGAGGACATCATATGGGATTTAGCACGTTCTCTTTGAAATCCTAGTGGAGAGACTTACTTGAATACTCCCTATTCTCATTCTATTCTTCAGCTTGAATAGTAACCCATTGCTAGTAGATCTTTAGATTAAGTCTCACATAAGATGTACTTCTAGCCCATAATGGACTGATTGTACAAATACATGGAGAAACAAAAGAAAATTTCTAGTAGATCTGTGTGAAACGCTTGTAGATCTATTAAAATGTTCAGAACAATTAATGTTTTGTGTTGTTCATTGTAGTAATTTTTTTTATTATTTACATAATATTAGCAATCAGAATTAAATTGTTTCTTGCATCCTGTTGTGTATTTAATCTATATTAGAGTTAATTTTACCGACCACACAACACGTTTTTATTTACTGTCACACTACATTTTTCGACCTCAGGATACAGGATCAAAATAAGTGGAAAAACGAATGTGATTGCGTGTGATTGTGCAACTGTGTTCGTACACCTGAGGATGACCTCTTGAGGTCGAAACATGTAGTGTGAAAGTAAATAAAAACGTGTTGTGTGGTCGGTAAAATTAACTCTAATATTAATCAAAATTACATTTGATTCTATAAGCTAATTTGCTGTAGTACTGTTCGTGACGTAGAGAGAGCTTATCCAGAGAAAAGTCCTCGTTAACCCCCTCTCGGGTCGGCTGGCCAATTCCTTTTTAGTCTTCGCCCACTGTGCGGTTCCAGTAGCGGTTGCATTAGTACGTTCTCATGTCATTCTGTTTTGTTGAGGTATCTTGTGCTTTTCCCTTTTATGACTTCCTTTACTAGAGGTACTTTNGTAAGTGGCTTCAGTTTGCATTACATCACTCCAGTGATTTCCTTCATCTGCATCTTTTACACTGTGCTGGTGAGTATTCGATTGTGATACCAAACTTCATTCCAAAATCCTTTGGAAACAAAATATCTTTAAAGAAGTCAGCAAAATATAATCATTTATTAATAATTTAGTATAAAGAAAGCAGTCTTCTTGGATTTGGCACCGTGTATATGTGGTGTTAACCGACGTTCCTCCGAAACGTCGCTTTCTTCATAGTCACCGCCGTGAAAGCCTCAAATCTTACAATAATTTAGTATGTTTGTATAAAGGTTTGGTCGGAAATCTGAAAGGAAATGATCACTTGGGAGATCTACACACTGATTGGAGACTAACATTTAGGATGGATCTTGGTCCGTGTCACAGGTGAGACAACCTGTCACCCAGAAATTACCATGGAAGCCTGAGTAGTCAACGAGGGATTTGTGACGGGCAAAGTGGCATTGGGGCAGGGTATTCTCCAGGCACTTAGGTCTTCCCAACCCAGTTATCGTTCTATCAATGTTCGATGCTGATTTATCATCAAGAGTGGTAAAGGCAGTCCACCGGTGGTCGCAGTACGAAAAGATTAAGACTCATCCCCTTGTACAACCAAGACAAAGATGGATCTTAAGTAAATAGATTGCGAAGGAGCAACTGTTTTCTTATGGCCCCGGATAGGATTTGTCGGCAGGATGTTTATGCATAGCAATGATGGCTGACAAGTGATATAACAAGAAGGGCTACGCTCCATGCAGTTAGTCATTAAGTGAGTATGATGAAGCTGATTCACTCACTCAATTCAATTCAACCAAGCAATCAATTGTACTTACTGTTGCCTGTCTGACAGAGAGAGAAAAACAGAATATGTAAAGAAGATATTACTATATACTTACACGAATTTAATTTGGAGGGAGGTACTCATTCACTTATGGAGCCGAACCCTTCTTGAGAATCCGTCAGTTGTGCAGCTGTTCAGATCCTTCCCAGCATTTTATGTAAAAAATTCGCGTAGTTGGGGATGGAGTGCAACTGGCGTCCACTCGGGACGGCGGCCACTGATTGGCCTATTTTAGCCTGCCCCGGGTGATTATGATGATGGAAAATTTGGTGGAATGAAGATTGGCAGGGGAAACCGAAGTACTCGGAAAAAACCCGCCCCAGTGCCACTTTGTCCACCACAAATCCCACTTGACCAGACCCGGGATCGAACCCGGGCCGCCGCGGTGGGAAGCCAGCGACTAACAGCTTGAGCTATGGCGCGGCCAGCATTTTATGTAACCTGAAGGTTTATTACCGCGTTCACAAGAGCCCTCCACTGATCCCTATTCTGAGTCAGATCAATCCAATTCATATTATCCCATCCTATTTTTCTAAGGTAATTTTTAATATTGCCCACCCACCTACGTCTTGGTCTCCCCACTGGTATATTTCCTTCTGGCTTTCCTACCAATATCCTATATACATTCCTCTCCTATTCCATTCGTGCTACATGCCCTGTCCATCTCATGCTCCTTGACTTGATCGTTCTAATTATACTAGGAGAAGAGTAGAAGTTACGAAGCTCCTCATTAATTTGAAGGGAGGTAAATGGCTAAATATTGTCACTGATTCATCCGCACCAAATTAACGCAGGGTACACAGGAGACGAGAGTATTAATTTCATAAAACAAGAAATGCATTATTATTAGTTACTATTTATTAACCAATTGAATCATGAGTCAGATAATTAATATTTAAATACCTCAAAGAAAACGGACTGTTTGTGTTGTGTTGTTGCGGACAAATTCCAAAAACACAGTACTCGCGAGACTGTGTCTCTTTCCGAAGATTGATCTCTTAATGCCCTTCAAAGAAATTGTTCGTTCTTATTATTATAATCATATGAAACACCTTAAATACGTTGTATGAGCAGAATGCAGAGGTACTTCAACGTTAAGGCAGCTGTTACACGCAGTCACTTATATCGGAAATTTGAAATTTAAATATAATCAACAGTTCCTTCTATTGAGGAATGAAATACAGAGAAATACATTTTCTGGAACAAATTATTCACTTGTGTACATGCACTGCGGCAGGCGCTATAATAATATACACAGATTCTCCTCTATATTGCATTGCAGTACGTTTAAATAAGCGCATCTTGCAGAAGAAATGTTGTGAATAAACGGGCGCCATATTCACTGGGGTGAAACTCGTTTTCCTGGTTCTGACTTTCGAATACAGAAGATACATCACCATAATCATCATCGTCATGAATGGTTATACAGACCGCTGGAGGCCTCGACCTCAATAGTGCCTCTCCTCTGATCCGTTACAGGAGCCGCCTTCTTCCGGTTTCTGATTTCGATATTTCTCGTTCAACTATATCAAGCCATCTTTTTGGGGTCTCCCCACTCTTTTTATGCCTTCAACTTTGGTGAATGGGATTTGTTTCGCTTGTTCTAGACAGTAACAAGCTAATATTTAATTTACAAGGTTATCAGCAGGTCAAATTCAGATAGTGCTTGCTACCATTCAGTTCGGAACCTTTTATTTTATCACCTGTCATCTAAAGACAAATGATTAATATGAGAAGATGCAAGCCTATAATTGTACCTGTAGCTTTGTATGGGTGTGAAACTTGGTCTCTCATACTGACCGAATAGCATGGACTGAAGGCTTTGAGAAGAATGTCGTTAGGGGAATGTCTGTACTTAAGAGGGATGTAATAATAGGAAACTGAAAAATAAAACTGCATATTGAGGACCTTCGTCAATGATGATTAGATCGGCATGACATGTAGCACTCATAGGACCGTAGCCTAGCTGCATAGAGGACTTTCTTAGGGAATCATGAAGATGAGACCACTAAGAAGACAAACATAAATGGAAGGATAATATTAAGATAGATTTTAGAGAAACAGAATGAGGGTATGATCTTGATTAATCTGGCTCCAGATTGATACCAGAAGTGGTAATAAACGGTAATAAACCTTCTTCTTCCTTTTTTTCTGTGGGTGCTACAGTCCACGACGAGCCTTGGCCTCTTTTACAATTGCTCTCCACTGGTCCCGATCCTGCGACTTTCGTCTCCAATTCCTAAACCCCACTGCCTTCAGATCTTGTTCAACTGAATTCAGTCACCTGAGAGCAGGTCGGACTACTCGTTCAGTAGCCTCTGGCTCATGCAGACTTAACTTCCTCCAAGGGTTCTGCTCCTGAATTCTAACTAGACCCTCCAACCACACTGGGAGCTTCAGAAATGGAAGTAAGTTGTAGCAGAAATGAAATACAAGAAACTAACAAAGTAGAAGAAATTCCGAATGACAATTAATAAACCTTCAGGTTCCTTAAACTGCTTGTGTTATCAGTGCATGAGCACTTATAAGCCTCTCAAAGGCTTGACTGCTTGGAATTAGTTAGCTATACGATATTTAGGAATGTGTGCAGGAAAACTCACATATTTCCTGGATATCACTAATAAATTGTGATCTTCTCAGGCAAGATATCATTACTATGGCCATTCAGGATTACCCGCAAAGACTATGTTTGCAGGGTGGTATGAAGGCAGTCGTATGGACGGACTTCTTGCAAGGAATTGTCATGGTGGTGTCAAACGTCGCAGTTATCGTCATTGGCATCATCCACGTCGGTGGATTCGCTGAACTGTGGGGCAGGAGCATAAGTGGTGGAAGAATACGGGTCTTCGAGTAAGCTACTCAGATAACTGAGCACTCAGCAGAGTTCTATAGCTTATGAGTAAATAAGCACCCTATACAAATACACATACCGTGCGTTCGCTCATGGAGTTGAGCCCTTCTTCAGAAGCCGCCAATTGTGCAGGTATTCAAGAACTTCCCAGAACTTTATGGAAAGAGACCTTGTTCACAAAAGCCCTCCAGTGGTCCCTATCCTGAGACAGATCAGTCCATTCCATACCATCCAATTCTATCTCTCTAGGTTCCATTTTTATATTGTTCCCCCACCTACGTCTTAGTCTTCATAGTGAGATCTTTCCTTCTGGCTTTCCCACCAATATCATATATATATATTTTTCTCTTCTCCACATTCCTGCTACATGCCCTGCCTATCTGATCCTCCTTGACTGGATCATTCTAATTACATTTGGAGAAGAGTACAAGTTATGAAATTCCTCATTATGCAGTTTTCTCCAACCTCCTGTCACTTCATCCCTCTTCGGTCCAAATATTCTCCACAACTCTTTGTTCTCAAACCACCCTCAGTCTATGTTCCTTCATTAATATCAGAGACCAAGTTTCAAACCGATACAGAACGACAGGCAAAATTATAATTTTCTATTACAAGCATAATTCTCAGGATGCGTCGGCCGAACCAGAACGCATGAACTGTAACAACGTGTCTACAGACTACTTCAGTACACTGTCTGTTCAGAAGTCAAGTTTGATGTACAGAGTGGACAAAAAGTTAGTTAACCTGAAATATTATCTCGTATTGACCGGCAAGCCAATTTGTAGAACGGTATCACAGAGTTATGAGTTGTGTATTGAACATGGACCTTCTCATTTCGAACAACTTTTTAAATAAATGAATAATAAAGAACTTTCTAACGTAATTTACTGTACATAGGGAGCCGGGATAGCGCAGTCGGTACAGCGACTGGACGACCGAATGATCTCAGTTTGAGTTCCAGTAGGGTCAATAATTTTCTCTTCTCCATGTCGTCCAAACCGGCTCTGGGGCACACCAAGTATCCTATCGAATTATACCAGGGGTAAAGCGGCCGGGTCGTGAAACTGACTGGTCATCTCCAACTTGTGCCGAAGTAAAGAATATGTGGATCTATACATCCACTCCCCCATACGTCTTCATGGCGTAATGATTAATTATTTAAGCACAGGTACAACTTTATTGTGTTGTTCATTTTACTGCCCAGTTAACTGACTTTTGGCCACACCGTCTACTATGTATGTCCCTTACGACGACACGTCATATGATCACGGATGATAAAACGAATTCCAAATACGAAGATATGGCGAATATATTGCTTAAGCAGACATTAAAATGTAATTTTTGAGGATTCTTGCCCAATCTGAACGGTGGCTGTTTGATCAAAGTATCGCTAGCTTCAGTAAAACTAGATTCATTTTAAGTCCATCCGAGTGTCTTGTCTTCGACATTTTCCAGAGATATGGACTAGCTCTATCGATTGGGCCTAACTAAACAGGTTTTACTTGAAGACTGAGAGAGAATCCACTCTCCGAAACGTCGTGTTTTAAAATAAAAACAGGACGGTGTTTTTTAGACTGAAACAAGACGATGGAAAATGTCAAGAAACATAATATTTGTCACAAATTCTTAGAAGATACTCCCAGTCCGTATCCTAATATGTTATTTCGTTACGGTGCATTTGAATACAATCCCCGTCAGCTCCGAGACATGTCTTCAGGTTTCCTGGCGATAACACATAATTTAAGGAAGAATTAACAATGCCAAACTAGAGTTTCATTCACAGGCCAAAATGGGATCGGCAACTTTATATTTTGCTCTTATGTTTAGCTTTCCAGTAGTATAATCGCATAAATGATCAAGACTTCTTTCTGTGAAATGGTAAAAAAAAATAAGGAAACATGTTTTTTTTTTCAGGTTCAACCCTTCACCCTTCAAAAGAATGACATTCTGGACTGTTGTTCTTGGGAACACTGTTGCCTGGATGGGCCTAGCGGTAAATCAAGCAATGGTGCAGAAATTCATGTCTCTGTCATCATACTCGAGAGCAATCAAGTAAGTACATCGACTAGTTTAAGTTGTTACAACTAAAAATAATTAAACCGGGTTCAGTAGCGAGATGTCACTGAATAATTTAAAATTTGAAGATTCTGACTTTTCCTTTACGATAAAGGCACTCTAGCTGACTCAGAACAATGGAACTTTAGAAAAACTAAACATTGAATTGTTCTTTATGGATTTACTTTTACTGCAAGCATTGTTACTGAAAATGTTGACTTTTGTTTGAGAAGGGAATGCAATACGTACAGCAGGCGGATACCTTGTATTCCTCGACATTATACAGTGAAGTACTGTACTGAGTAGTGAAGTGGGCATTCACAGGTGCGCTCAGAAGTGAGGAAATTAAAATACACATATGGAAATAAGCTACCACAAAAAATTGTCTCCGTCTGAAACCTGTTCGAATACCTGGTAATTCAATTGAACGTCGTCAAAGTATGTAGCCGTACATTAAGTGTGGGTGTCATGACGCCTTGTCTTCACTCATGACACAGTCGGTGAACGTGAAGGCTTTTCGGAGGACATTCGGGCCGCATATTTATTAAATATAGATTGGTTACTATCTATTTAGTTTTAAAAACAAAAATTAATGCTAAAATGTCGATTTATGCTGTGCTGTTTAGTGTTAACTTGTTAGTGATATTAACATCGAACTATTATCTGTTCCAGATCACTCATTTTCTTTGTTCTTGGATTAATCATAACCAAATCTATCACCTGCTTCACCGGTCTTCTTATTTATTCCACGTACCACGATTGTGATCCCCTTGAAGCAAAGGTAACGTGATTGAATAACACCCTTTTTATTTTTAGTCAGACGCTACGTAGAAACAGATACATGGAAAAGGTACGTATCAGGAAACAAGTCAAGAGCACACAAAACAAATTAAAATTATTGAAAATGCCGGTTACATAGCGAAATTATCCTTTAAGAAACATTAGTTTACATTAGATACATGTACGCCGGTCACGGTAGCCGAGCGGTCTAAGGCATGTACTGTCTTCGCTCACTGGGAAACCGGGATCTTGGGATCGAATCCCACTCAGGGCATGGATGTTTAGCTTGTGTGTGTGCGTTTTTCTGTGTTTGTGTATAGGTAGAGGCCTTGCGACGAGCTGATCACCCGCCCAAGGTGTCCTACCGAATGTGTAAGATCTAGAAAAACCGAAGTGAACGGAGAAGTTCATGGAGGTAGGCCTAGGCCCACTGGGGCTGTAGTGCCAAGGAAAAAGAAAAGATACATGTACAGATCATTATCAATGATAATAATCGTAACCTGTAAGTTTGATCACAACACGCTGAATAACCTGGAAGTTATGCCCGGATATTGATTTAGGTCATGAAATACATTTCCTATTAAAATAACCAAAATAAATACAAAATTAAGGGTAGATATGCCATATTACTTTAATAGAAACCGTTCAATTAATTTTGTCCCTTTTACATGCGGACAGGACGATAAGATGAACCGAACAGTTGGCTTCCGAATATCCTTTTAGAGACATATGCACAATTATACAACACGCGACAATGGTCTCCTAAGTGGCAACGGCTCTGCCTATATAAATAAGTGTACCAGTGAGGTCAGATGTCAACACGGCTGTCATTATCTTCTTGAAGTGACGCAGTGCAATCGGGTAGAAGCTCCTTCGAAATGTCATTAGACTCCTACAAAATTTCACGGTATCACAGCCCAGGAGATTAGTAATTTTAATTAAGGTGTGTCAGTGTTCTTACTGCAGGACTTTACCCATCTATATTAGACTGGACCTGGGAAAACCCCTTAATATGGAGAAATGATCAGTGGCAATCTCTATAAAAAGCATTTTAAGATAGCATGTGCCAAGTATTTGGTTTAGATATGGAGAGGCAAGTGTATTGTATAAGCGAAGTGACAGTTATAATTTTTACAGGCCATCTCCCAACCAGATCAGCTGCTGACTTACTACGTGATGGATATATCCGGTTATATTCCAGGTCTGGCCGGACTCTTCGTAGCAGGAATTCTTAGTGCAGCACTGAGGTAAGCGATTATTTGGTTCTAGAAATAATGTGAATATTTTTGTACTACTACTAATCTGCGAACATTTACGTCATGCAAAATGAACGGAATTAAAGTGATGGAATTATATCTCAAATCACAGCATTCTTAAATCGAAATAACTCTCCTTATTGAGAAGCTAATATTTGTTCAAGTGGTCCGATAACTCCTGGTGTCTTCAGCCTCTTTACGATGTCCAAAAATCCAGTCACTAGATACCAGACCAAAGCTTCATGTCCCCCTTCTTTAAAATCATTTTTAATATTGTTCTCTCATCTATGTTTAGGGTTCCCAAATGGCCTCTTCCGTTCAAGTGTAAGTTTAAAATTGTATACGCATTTTTACTCTTAATAAGTACCTTAAAAATTAAGTAATATTTAGTATATGGAAATAGGGGTGTTTGTTTGCAGTTCCTGTCTTTATACTCACACGGTAAGTGGAAGGGGTGACTCAACAGTTTAATTAATCTACTGCTGATTCGTTGGCATTTGGTGAGACTGAGTCAACAGCTGACGCATGGATTGGTTAAAAGGCAGATGAGGACGAGGTTAGTTCAGCGTGATGCATGGGAACAGGTGAAACACGAGCAAATCTCAGATCAAAAGGACCGACTGTGTCTTCACGCAAAAGTCGCCTTCAGATAAAGACTGATCTGGAAACGATATCTCGTGTTTCTCAGCAGTGCCGTATAATGTCAAATGTGATGAGGTCATCTAGCTGACAGCCTCCATCTTGTGTTTGCAGCACCATGTCAAGTAACCTCAACTCCCTCGGTGCTACCTTGTTCGAAGACTTCATACGCCCGTGCATGAGGGACAAAATAGCCGATAGAACGGCGAACAGGATCGTCCAGTCTATTGTCATTATAGTCGGCTGCGTCTGTATAGCTATTGTCTTTATTGTTGACAAGTTGGGTGCAATCTTACAGGTAAGCAAATTTCTAAAATAAGACAAAATTTCTGGCTCTTGTGAACATGGTCGTAAACCTTCTGTTCACATATGAAGGGGCGCCCAAAAAACGGAATTTGTTTATAAAAAATTACGTATTTATTTTTACATAACAAAACTTTAATCCCCTCCAAAGTACACTCCATTTGAGTCAATGCACTTGTCCAAATGTTTTTTCCATTTCTCAAAACATGTTTTAAATTCATCGCTGGTGATGCCTTTCAGTCCTTCCGTCGCTTTTTGTTTTCTTCACGCCTTCAACATCAGCAAAACATTTTCTCTTGAGGTCTCTTTACATCCGAAGAAATAAAAAAAAGTAGCAAAGGGCAAGATAGGGTGAGTACGAGGGGTGAGGCAAGGGTGTCATGCCACTTTTTGGTCAAAAGTCGCTGCACACTCAGCGCTGTGTGGGAAGGCGCGTTGTCATGATGAAAGATACTCTGTTACGCAACCTTTTCAAAATTTCCAAATAATAATTCTGGTTAACTGTCTGACCCTGGGGTGCAAACTCTGAATGCACGACGCTCCTGGAATCGAAGAAGGAAATGAGCATTGTTTTCACAATTGACTTCACTTGTAGTGCTTTTTTGTGACGTAGAGAATTAGGACCTTTCCATTGGCTGGACTGCCGCTTTGTTTCGGGATCGTAACCGTAGCACCAAGAGTCATCTCCAGTTATGACCTTGGGAAACAAATCAGGATCGGTTTCCAAGTTTTCCTCCAAAGCAGGGCATGCAGCCAGGCGAGGCACGAACTTCGCTGCAAATCGTTTCATGTGCAATTCTTCGGTTAAAATTTGCTGACAGGAACTCAATGCGATCCCATTAGGCTCCACGATTTCGTCAATCGTCCGACGGCGATCTTCCAAAATGATCTGACGAATTTTTGTCACGTTTTCATCAGTTCGGGGGTCGAAGGACGCCCACTTCGAGGTTCATCATCAGTTGACATTTCACCATGTTTGAAACGGGAGAACTATTCGTAAATTTGTGTTTTACTCATGGCGGCTTCCCTGTATGCTGTTTGTAGCATAACAACCGTTTCTGCTGCTGTTTTTCCCAAAAGGAAACAAAACTTCACAGAAACACGCTGTTCGTGTGAATCAGCCATTAAAAAAATAGACGAATCATAAAAAAGTCACTTGAGAAAAAATTCACCAAACACTAACGCAAACTTCTCTGACGACACCAACCTGCATACTTATTCACGAAAGTGCTGCAAACAACCACCTAGTGGCGGGAAGCCTGTACTACAAGCGCCCCGCCTTCTAGAAACAAATTCGGGCTTTTTTGGTTCCCCCTCGTAAAAGGCGGGGAATTCCCTCACTAGCCGAGAATCTCAAGAAAGATTATTCCATGAGGGTAGTTAATTTCCTTGAGAATGCCTCTATAAGGAAAATTAAATGAGATCAAATAAACAGGCAGGCAACTTCAGCAGCCGCATGTAAAACTCTTCAAACCTTAACTTATTTACTTACTTAGGCCGCGCCATAGCTCAAGCGGTTAGTCGCTGGCTTCCCAGCGCAGCGGCCCGGGTTCGATCCCGGATCTGGTCGAGTGGGATTTGTGGTGGACAGAGTAAAGCTAGGGCGGGTTTTCTCCGAGTACTTCGGTTTCCCTTGCCAATCTTCATTCCACCAAATTCTCCATCATCATAATCACCCTAGGCAGGCTACAATAGGACAATCAGTGGCCGCCGTGCCGAGTGGACCCAGTTGGACTCCACCCCCCACTAAGTGAATTAAAAAAAAATACTTATTTACTTACTTGAATAAAATATTTAAAATGCCGAATTAGAGGTAAATATGTGTATTCCAGAATTCAAAATTTATAACAACGAACAGCAAACCAAACTTAAAAAGTATGAAGGGTCATAGAAAAGAGTTACCCTTCAATCTTACTAATTACCTCCGCTGCATATTAACCTTACAGAGAGGCTATCAGGAGCAGTTTTCATATACGTTCCCGGGAAAGAATTAGCCAGAACATAAAGATGATCACTCATCTCCGTTAGAAACTGGCTTTAACAATGACTCAGTCTATACTTCTATTCCCTTATAACGTTTTAATGGCGAGGTATTCAGTCAGAGGGATACATTAACCGTATTTCTTCTAGTACGTGTTACAGACATTAATTCTTTTTAATATTGTTTTCAGCTCTCGCTGAGTATCGGGGGAGTGACTGGAGGAGCTTCACTGGGGCTGTTCTCTTTCGGAATGTTTTATCCAAGAGGAAATTCGAAAGTAAGTTTAAGAGCAAGAGTAACCTGAACTTCGGAGAACACCACAATTCAGTAAGCAATAATATTATTTAACCAATGTTTCAGGGTGGGGGCAAATGGTTGCGTAGTAGGTTGCACTACGCTACAAACCGGAAGGTCGCGGGTTCGATTCCTGATCACGTCCCTGGATTTTTCAATTTGCCAGCCGCACTGTGGCCCTTGGGTCAACTCAGCCTCTAATATAAATGAGTTCCAGGAATCTTCCTGGGGTAAAGGACGGCCAGTGCGTAAGGCTGACAACCTTACCACCATCTGTGAGCGGACTGTGTAGAGAAAATGTGGGAGCCTCGATATCTCACAACCCTATGGGCCTTCACGGCCTGTTACAGGAATAGCTTTACGTTTTGTTTTATAATGCTTCAGGGTGCACTCGCAGGAAGCATAAGCAGTTTGCTCTTCATGTGTTGGATGGTGTTCGGAACTCAGACAGCTATCGCTAATGGTTCCATCAAGCACAGCGTGCTACCTATGAGAACAGAAGGATGCGGCCTCAATGATTCGACTCCAGCACCTCAGCAGTAAGTTGAGTTACATACATAATTAGCACAATATTTCCTCTGTCAGAAGAAAACATCATCTTCGTCAATCAATATATTCCTCCTTTTTCTCCCACTTCGGACCACAGGGCTGATTTCTCAGTTTCTTGATCATTTTAAAGACGGTAGGACTCCTTGGACGGGTGATCAGCTCGTCGCAAGGCCTCTGCCTAAACATAGGACAACACAAACACAGAATAAACTCATACACACCAAACATCAATGTCCTAAGAGGGATTCGAACGCATGATCCCGGCTTCCAAGCGAGCGAAGACAGTACATGCCTTAGACCACTAGGCTACCGTGAACGACAATCGATATATACTGATTAGAAAACACAATTGTCAATTCTTTGTTTAAGTCTACATGCACCCGAGAAGAACCGAACGAAGGGCTAAGTTGCGCTCATTTGCATGTAGATTTGTGATTCATACTGCCGCACAAAAACTCGCCGAAGTACAGCCCTATTGAATAGGATCTATGAGGTTCCACATCAATGTTTCTCTGTGTCACAAGGCTGGAGAAGAATATTGCACTGAAGTGCTTGTTGTCAGGCGTATTATTTGAGATTGTGTAAGCTTCATTGGTCTTGGTTTTCATGTACTGTATATATAATGCCATTCTTGCAAAGTTAATTACACCACTGATGCAACGCACAGAACCGAAAGTGGTTTCTCCTCTATGAAATTAATTACTCTCCATATCGAAAAATTTGTCAATACATGTTACGAACCTCGGCTAGAGCTGTGCTTGCCCTAACTTTATGCGATGGGATCATTTAAGGAGAAAAGTGGAGTCTAATTACATGTAAAGAGAGGGTTGTATTGGTCCCGATATAATCTGAAATTTAATTCGCTAGACAACTTTTGATGTAAGCCCTTAAATATGAAACCGAAATGTAGTCAATAACTTTGGGCTTGCAGACGGTCAGAAATAACCGCCCTAGTATGAATTTATTTTACTTACTTCGTCTAGGAACGCATAAAATGATACCTTAACTAAAATATGGTAAAAACTGTTCATGAATAATTACTTAAATGAAAATCATTTGACTCCGATTTTTAAATTATGTGAACATCAGATAACTTTATCACATAGCCGAAGTCTATTACCGAAAATCGCCAAAAAATGTACCGCTACATTCATTCTGAAACGATGAAAGAGGGACTATTCTTCATTTGCATTAAATAGACGTTTGAGTTAAAACATAAATTTTTTCGTACTAATTACATTCCCCGGGTAAAGACGGTATCAATTACCCACTCCTGAAATTAATCAGAAAACACTGTTGATGAAAGGAAGAAGGAGGAATAAATTCATTGTATCGTCGTATTTTTCTTTTGTGCCGAAATTTTCAATCCTAAATTTGTAAGAAACAATGGAAAGTCAAAGAAAAGAACTCTGAAATTAAGGATGAAACCGGATTACTGTGGTATCTTTAGCGTCCGTTCCAATGTCTTCAGTATTCATTTTTAACAGACGACTTTAATAAAACAAAAGACATTATTCAGGACCTTCTGCTTGTGCAGTAAATACATGAACTCCAAATGTAATTTTATACCTAGTCGAGATATAGGTTTAAATTATGATGTCATGTCATGATGTCTTGTATAGTCCCCGAAGTTCATTATACAGCATCTGTAGATACTATTTCCTGTGTTTACAGAACTTAGAACTTCGGTGCATAAACTTCTTGTTTACTCCATTCTAAATATTGTCCCAATTGGCAGTTAAATTAATGAAAAAGCAGGAAGAAAATTAGCTCAAACAATAATGTTCATGGTTTGTACTCAGAATGATCCCAGTTCTAACCTCGGCCGTGACACTAACTAGGTTAGATGAAGTTTTTCGTAGTTTTGCTCAGTCTCTTCACGTAATTCCGAGAGAGGCTGAAATTAGGTAATGACTGTCTCCTTGCACATAATTTCCATTTCATCATTCGCTGTCCTTCAGAATATTCGCCTCTGTGAAGCCTGAGAAACCCGCAGTGTCGATAAATAAACCCACATATAATAAAGCATAAGTATTACTGGATAACATTTCTAACTGAGGCATTCGCTACACGACAACTGAGACCACATTCTCTTCACATAATACTATTTTATTTTTCCGTACGTCGTAATTTTATTTTAATTTTTTAAGAAAATTTTACGAATAAATAATCATTAGCGTGATTATTCTTTACGTCATAAAATATGACACGTAAATATAGGCCTACATAGTCCTGTATACTGTGCTTACAGCCTGCTGATATTGTTTCACATCTAGCTAAAGTAAACATGTGCCTTTTCTTCTCAGGAGTGACGCTGAGGCAGACGATGTGTTTGTTTTATACCGGGTCTCCTTCATGTATTACACTCTCATTGGGATGGCCGCGGTGTTTACAGTCGGTATAATCGTGAGTCTGCTGACAGAACCACCGAACCTGCGAGATATGAACCCAGCTCTTTTCACCCCTATCGTCAGGCGCTACGTGGAGCGCAAGACTCGAAGATGCAACATCAAGGAAACTGCAGAAATGGAGCGATTGAACGTGACACGTGACTGAACCACTAATTAATATTAGAATTATTTGTTTTTGTTTTTTACATAATTCAATTAATAAGATTCACATAAATGTAATAAATTACAAGCTCTGCATCATCATCATCATCATCATCATCATCATTATCGTTATCATCATCAACTCACTGTAGAGTATATTAGTAGCTGTCCAATTCCAAAGGAAGAAGCGGCCAGTAGTTAAATAAAAGAGGATATTCCACTTAAATGGCCACAAAAGCCTATATAATTATATAACAAACATAAAAAAGAATTAATATTGTATAACATTTTTAGGAGTATATAATACAGTGTCTGTAAAAGCCCACCATATTACCCTGTCGTGGGTCAGCTGACTCTCGCTCATATTCCTGTAACATGTGGGTATGTTTTACTAACAGGTTCGCGTTCTGTTGAGGTTTCTCAATATAAACCCATTATGCGTGTCCAGTTTCCGTCTATGCAACTGCCATTGGTTCAATCGCCAGGAGCACAGATCGTGATGTCACTAAATGTGTAATCTTCCCACTTGCTTCCTCTGGGGCCAACACGTGTTCTGTCACATCCTCCATACATGTACTTCCCCACTGGACGAGAAGTCAAATTTATGCGCATATAATAGAAGAGGAAATTTCAAGTTTTGCATTTTCCAGTCTTTATTTTTTTTATAAGGGAAGATAAAAGACTGGAGATATGTAAACAGAAAAAGAAAATTATAGCTAACTGCCCCACTTCCATCATGATGAATTATAAATTAAGGTAGTTAATTTATGTTACTCACTACAAATTATATACAGTCTTTAATTTTAATATCAACGTAAATGAGCTGGTTTAAGTCTCAACTACTATTTTTTTTCTGTGGCGCTACAGCCCCAATTTGGGCCTAGGCCTACCTCCATTAAACTCTCCGTTTCACTTCGGTTTACTAGATCTTACACATGCGGTAGGACTCCTTGGGCGAGTGATCAGCTCGTCGCAAGGCCTCTACCTGTAGATAAACACAGAAAAACGCACACAAACATCCATGCCCTGAGTGGGATTCGAACCCACGATCCAGGCTTCCGAGCGAGTGGAGACAGTCAACTACTATTTAACTTTCAAAATTAAAATACATTCAAGCCTCTTATGAAATATTCAAGTTACATAATTATAAATGTCCCTTGACAAAAGAAATTTATAGTGTATATTCATAAACGATTTAAATCCAAGGAGGAAGTAACAAAGATGGACGAGGAAGCACAAAGCATTCTAACAGTGAGATTCTGTTTGTTTGCGTGTGTTACAGGCACAGTATTTTCTCCCCTTCTCTATACAAATCAAGACCAATTTTACAATTTAGTTTAGACTGAATAAGTCCATAAAGAAATATTCGTCAAGTCAAGTTTAATCAGAGATTGGTACTTCTGAATTCCAAAGTGTATCATGATTTCATCCAATTTTAAATGTAATCCCATTTCTTGTTTTGGCTTAATTAACATTACAATTGCTCAAGTTTTCACATGGAACCAATTTCACATGCCTGTGAAATTTGTGGCAGTAACACGCCTAAATATGGTAGTGGGGACCAGGTCGCAGGAAACATACACTGTTTCCTTGTATTTTTATGACACTTTATCATATACACAGGTTATTAAGCGTATGATAAGAAATTGTACAATTATGTGAAGCGTGAAAGAGAAAATTTGCAAAGATCAAAATATTGCCAGATTTTCCCATCGCATTACCTAATATATGAGGGTCATCTTGCTAATTTTTGGAAACCTGAGTTGTTGGAAGAGACAGAAACTGCATTCAACATCCTTGGGAGAAAACTCTTCGAAACATCGAAATGTATATTACATCTGTTTCTAAAAGTGATTAAACACGATTATCAGCAGTACAGTACTCCTCATCTGGAACCGTGATTCAAATGATTAGCCTCTAGTGTTTGTAAGTCATGTTGTTTCTCAAGTCACCTAACGGCACTCCCGTAATAGCGCGTCACGAAGATTCAAATGGAATATAATTTTGAATGCTAAATTGGTACGGACGTGTATGGAAGGTGCCGCAGCCCTTCTCAAGGCAACACCTCAGAATTTTGCCTGGAGACACTAAAGGCTAGAACAAATTCCCCTGGCTTGAAAGTCAGATGTGGATATCCCGAGTAAAATCTAGAATCTTATCACTCAACTGTGACGCTGAGTCAGCACTGATTTACACTGATAGATCTGACTTTATTCATTACAGCAAAGGCACTCAAAAAGAGAAAACTGCACAGGTTCTCAAAAAGAGAATATTGCATGATGGGGAGGCGCCTCATAAACTGTAGTATTCGCCAAATAAAACCTGTAGGTGTTACCTGGAGTTGGGCACTATTGGAGCAGGAAAGTTCTCAAGAAGAATCTCTGGGATAAAACGTGTGTAGTCCGATGAAAGTCAACCGACGTTCCAGAGGAACACACTGCTTCCATCTTCAGGGTCGAATAATAAGCCGATTAAGAAACCAGCATGAAACCAGGTGGCAAGTAAAACTAAATATCTTCTGGGATATAACGTTTTATTTTTTTTTCACTGGCTCTACAGCCCCCTTAGGTACTAGGCTCTGATTTTCAGTTTCAAGATCATTTTACAGACAGTAGGAATCCTTGGACGAGTCATCAGCTCGTCACAAGGCCTCTGCCTAAACACAGGACAACATAAACACAGAATAAACACATACACATACCAAAAATCCATTCCTTGTGTGGGATTCGATCCCACGATCCCGGCTTCCCGGCGAGCGAAGACAGTACATGTCTTCGCTTAGTGGGGGGTTGGAGTCCAACTGGGTCCACTCGGCACGGCGGCCTGCCCCGGGTGATTATGATGATGGAGAATTTGGTGGAATGAAGATTGGCAGGGGAAACGGAAGTACTCGGTAAAAACCTGTCCCAGCGCCACTTTGTCCACCACAAATGCCACTTGAGCAGACCTGGGATCGAACCCGGGCCGCCGCGATGGGAAGCCAGAGACTAACCGCTTGAGCTATGGCGCGGCCCCAGTACATGTCTTAGAGCGCTCGGCTACCGTGACCGGATTTTTTTTTTCACTGGCTCTACAGCCCCCTTGGGCCCTGGCCTCTGATTTTCAGTTTCATGATTATTTTACAACACGGTAGGACTTCTTGGACGAGTGATCAGCTCGTCGTGAGGCCATAATATTGTGAAGCCCGTTAAAAGTCCACTGACTTTTGGAGGAAAATATATGTCTTCAGGGTTGAAGTGCAAGCCAAGCAAGAAACCACCATGAAGCAGGCAGCAAAATAAGTAGCATTAGTCCCTTCGTTTTGGAGAGGTGAAACCGAGCTACAAGAATGGGCGGAACAAAAAGGCGACACAAGTAATTCTGTAGATGTCACATCTAAGCCCTCATAACTATAGAAGGGAATAGAGCACTCATTCTATATATAATTGCAATTAAAAGAAGTAAGCGATGCGTGATACGCATGCGTAATGTCTTTTCTAATCGACCCTTCGTAGAGTAGAAAGTGAAATTATAGCACCAGAAATACGTTCAGTGGAGGATAATTAAAGGATACGCCACGCAGAACTTGAAACTGTCACAGTTCATGGAATAAGAACAGTTTGGAGAGAATGATATACAAGGATATAAGTAGAAATATTTTGCTGCAACATAAAACAATATACCTACCAGTAATATCAGCAAATAATTTTATTCTTCCTTCGCAATTAATGGAAATACATCCTCCAATATACATGTTTTTCAGAAGTAGCCAATTTCATCTGAACACTTATCAACATGTTAAAGCATTAATGCGTACCTCCTATACGCAACCTCCTATCCAATGAGTACCGTGGGGCTCTTTCCTACGGGTAAAGCGGCGGGCGGCGTGAAGCTGATTTCTCACCTCCAGCTAGTGCCGAGGCCAAGAAAACGTGGGCCTGTACATCCACTCCCCCATACGCCTTCATGACGTAATGCTTTACCGTTTTTACCTTTATTATCTAGGTACGAGGGTTGGAACTTCAATAGTGGCAACACTGCCGTAGAGACGCCATGCAACGGAACCAAATAATGTCGTTTATACCACACGTTAGTTACATACCTACCTTACCTCAGGGCGAATGGACTCTCCCTTCCCACATCACGCGCATGCACAGTGACGAGAAGAACAGAACCTCGTGTTAGCTGGCGGTCTAATGTAGTGTTGTCACGATGTTTTCGAAAGAGGAACAAGGGAGTTGGATAAAGATTGAATGTGCCAGAGGCCGTAAAGCACGACAGTGTCATCAGGGTCTTCAAGAGGCTTGCGGGGAATCTGCATTGCCTTACAGAACAGTGGCAAGGTTGAACCACCACGAAAAACAAAAGTTCGTCAGAACCCCAGCAACGTGAAAGTTATGGTGATTCCCGTGTACCACCGTGATGGTGTTATCTTAACGCATACCGTTCCCCGACAGCAGACCGTCAATGCGCAGTATTACAGTTCATTTTTGGAACACAACCTGCGACCAAGTTTGAGAAAGAAGCAGCGACACTTTCTGCAGAATCCACCCATCATTTTGCAGGACAATGCTCGGCCGCATGCAGCGCAATAATCACTTGACCGTACGGCGCGAATATCAAGTTCCATTCGTGGAGTTTCAGGAGTTCAGACATCTTGGACGAGTCTGCAGTGCATTTCTTTTGTTTCGTGATAGGATGTATCATTCCGCAGTCGCGCAGCCTCGCTCCAATTCCACTTATCTCTAGAAAGAGTGAGCAGTTGGCTCAACAACAAATGGATCTTGACCTTTACTCGTGTAACGTATTAAGCAAAAGGATGTGAGTAGTCAGGCTTCTTTTGTGGAGCAACTGCCTACTGCTGAACCCTTAATTGCTTCATACAAATTAACGCTGTCATGAATAGCAATGAATTATTACTGAACAGAAGCAAGATAAAAGTGTGATTCATTGCATGTTACTTAAGTGCTTGATATTCACAAATACAGAAGAATAACAAGAGATGAGGTACGAAGATGATACCTGTTTGTGACGATGGTACAGTAGTACGCGTAGGGTGCATGTATTTCGGTCTATAACTCGTGTAGATGAAAGATCATCTACAAATACCATAAAAGTGAATTAATTATTCCACAAGTCAAGATCAGTACAAAAATCTTTGAGAGGCTTTACGTGAACTCCGACAATAAAATGTCGAATTATCTTAAAATATCAAGGACTGTTTTCTTTCTCTTGAAAGAAAGTACATTATTCGCCAACTATAATAAAATTTGTATATACTAAAACTTGTTAAGATTATTCATCTATATGTCTAAATTCAAACTCGCGTATAGTATGGTTCGTCCAGTATGGGAGTCGTTTCTGTGTGTACTGTGTCTGTGATGTGTCCTTCCTTTTTGGTTGCCAGCTAATAATGTACTTTCTAAATAATTTTATGAAAGAGACAAGATGGCAGACAATGTAATAGCTTAGCGTAATAACGAACCTGAAGATGGCACTATGTTGCCGAAACATGTAGTAAGAAGCAACATATGAAATTGAGTGCACTACAAGACGGCCATTAGATACGTATCATGGAGTCATATCTCGCACCGCACTGAGAACCTACATACAGAGTGAGTCCAGGTTCTGTTAGTACTGTGTTAATTAAAAATACAAGACGTGTATTATTTTCAAAATTTCACTCTTTTTATTCAAAACAGTCCCCTTCTGAATCGATACATAGCTGGAACCGATTAAAAAGTTTTCGAAAACAGTCACTGTGCTCCTTTTGTGGAATCGCATTTAAAACTGCGATACATTCCCTTCGGATGCCCTTGATGGTGTCGTGACGGTATCCTTTCATCGCCAACTTAACTTTTGGGAACAACCAGAAATCTGCTGGAGCCAAATCTGGCGAATACGGAGGATGATCTAGGACTGTGATCCCTTTTCTGGCCAAAAAATTGCGCACGATATTCGATTTGTGGGGTGGGGCATTGTCGTGGAGGAGCGACCAGGAACCTTGCTCTCGATATTGAGGTCGAACTCGAAGAATTCTCGCCCACAAACGATTGAGGACTCCAAGATAACAATCACAATTCACTGTTTGACCTTCTGGCAGAAATTCCTTGTGAATGATTCCTTTGGAATCGAAGAAAACAGTTAACAGTTTCTTTACTCGACTCTTTTGCATGCGCACTTTCTCTGGTTTCGGCTTCTTTGGGCTCAACCACGCTGCACTCTGCCGCTTTGTGAGAGGCTCATATTGAGAACACCATGTCTCGTCACCAGTAACTATCGATTTTGTAAATTTTGTATCACTTTGGGCCGACCGTAACATGTCTTTGCAGTGTTCCATTGTGGCATGTACGTATGCCGCTGTGTCATGGGGTCAAGATCTCAGATAGTCACTGCATGGAAAAGTGTCTGTCCATAATTTCTTCTCCAGTAAAGCTCTACACGGAACCAGAAACATATCCACAGAATTGCCATATTAGACGGTAACACAGAATTTAACGAATAGCCATCATTGATAGATAACGCGACATTCAATCCCAACACAACTTAGGATACTAATGTAAAATATTAATTTACTAAATAAATTCTTTAAAAATAGAGGTTCAAATACCATGAATTCAATATTAAGTTATTTCTGATGAAATGACAAATTAATTGAGATAAATTCAGGACAAGGATTGACAGAGTATTATTGTTTCTTATTACGATATATAACTTTGATCTGAACAATTTTCTCTTGAAGTGCCTGAATATTTAACATAGCTAAAGGAGGACGTGCCTTAGTATAAGTTCATAATAGCGACTTTATTAGGCCTGTAACAATATTGAGTAATTTCTGACTGCACAAATGACAAGTATAAGTCAATTTATGTATGTCTATTGACATAAGTAAAATCAAAAGAAAGCACTTTGAAAACTTACACACTCAGTTATGGTATACAATTACACTCTCATTCCATTTTGTCATCCTAAATTTTTTTCATGGCATTCATAAGTTATAGTCTTGAAATGGAATGGGGGCCGTGTTTTCGTAGAGGCGAAGAATGTAAGTTGGTTTTGATGTAATTATTTAAAGTTGTGACAAGAGACGAACAATATACCGTATTTACGCATGTATAGGCCGCGTGCGTGTATAGGCCGCAGCACAATTTTCAGACAGAAATTATAGAAAAAATAATTTTCTTGGAATATTATTTCAGGAGTAGAAATTATTCCGAAATTTGGCAACGTTTAATTTTTTTTAAATGAAGTGTGATTTCGAATGTTTCGAATATAAGCCGCACCCCAGTTTTCCTCTTGAATTTTTGGCAAAAAATGTGCGGCCTATACATGCGTAAATACGGTACTACAGCCATAGCCCCAGACCATAGCATCCATTTACAGGGTAGAAATTATGCGAAGCTACATTCTATATAAGAATGCAGCTTTTCCGCAGAAACTTTCGTGAAAATCCATACGATATCACGGTGTTACAGTCGGGAAGACCCTACTTTGAACTTTCAGTGAAAAATCATAAAAATAATTTTGTTTTTTATAACCATAACCTTTCCGTGATACCGAGAGCAATCGATGTATATCAGATTAAGAAGTAATTCCTACAGAATCTCTTTCTATTTGAAGTGTAACCGTGTTAAGATAAGGAATAATGAAACTCATTACCAGCCTTTCGCAATTAAAGCAGACACCATTCTTATTCATCTCTCTCTTCCTCCCCTTCCTTCTTCCTCTTCTGTTTCATCACGCTGTTGCATGCATATTCGAGCCTTCCAATAGATTTTGCCGACTGACCGAACGCCTTGCTCAGAAGCAGGATCGTAATATCGCTGGTCCTTTTGCCCACGCATAATGAGACAAAAATCCATATCCCTGGTGCGATTCGAAATGTCAGGCCTAGGGTTCGAGCGATCCGAGGGCGTGGGCGTTTATATAGCGTGGTCACCAGGCTCGCCTGCAGTTTGGAGAATGTAATCCAGAGATACTCTTCGATACAAGACGTAAAGGGATGCAAATACGAGCGAATAGAAAATTCTGCAGTTTGTAACACTATTTCGTTTGGATAAACTGCTCTGCGAAACACAAGTTACTTCCTTTAAGACCACTATCAAGTGATAATTCACTTTACCTTCTGAATATCTGAGAAAGCAACATTTATTTGTACAACTTAAGCTGCTAATAGTTCTGAGTACATTATCCTCCGTGCCTAAACATTGATATTATGAACTGAAGGTTCCACTCACTCGACAACTGCGGAGTTACTTTCTTGAAAACACCGCGGTTTGTAAGATCAAGGCTTTATGGAAAACTGGTGATTATGGAAACCGCGGACGCTATTAACATTATCCAAAAACTACGATGTCTGCTATCCTTTCAACAACCGCGCCATAGCTCAAGTGGTTAGTCGCTGGCTTTCCACCGCCGCGGCCCGGGTTCGATCCCGGGTCTGGTCAAGTGGGATTTGTGGTGGACAAAGTGGCGCTGGGGCGGGTTTTCTCCGAGTACTTCGGTTTCCCCTGCCAATATTCATTCCACCAAATTCTCCATCATCATAATCACCTGGAGCAGGCTACAATAGGCCAATCAATGGCCGCCGTGCCGAGTGAACCCAGTTGGATTCCAACCCCCACTAAACAAATTAAAGAAATAAGTGTGAAACTTTTAGTCGCAGCTGAGAAGCCACTAGTGGAAGAGAATTTAGAAGGCAGCTCAATAGTTGAATTGTTGAAGACGTTATTTCATTGTGTAACTGTAAAAGAACGCCAATAAATCTATTTATCCCACCTAGAACTCGTTATTTTCGTCACGCGTGCCCCCTTACACGTCACAAAATCATGTAATTTCTTGGCACTGAGCGTGGGATACGGAAGAATAGCACGAAATTCTCAGTTACGATAACATATCTTAGTGCCTTGAGTCGGAGGCTGAATACAAATTAGCTGCCATAACCACTTGACCCTGCAGGGCAAATGTCAAGTTCCTTGATCGCAGTCTTGGGATTTCGGGTCATGTTTTGACGGGTATACACATTAATTGTTTTGTTTCACCCTATCAGCAATCACTTCACAGCAGCGCAAACCGTTCTAGCACCCTTGTGTCCAATCCAGTTCTGACTGCGAGAGAGCGAACAATTTTCTCATCAGCTATAAATGCATCTCGACCTTGACTCATGCAATGTATTAAGCGAAAGGAAACGAGTATTCATACGTCTGTTGTCTAGTAACTGTTCACTCTCAATGTGGTCTGAGTTTGCAAAGTGCTTCATACAAAATAATGCTGTTCTGGACAGCAAGTACTCGCCATTTACTGGAAGTCAGCTGAAACTGTATTTATTGCATGTTACTCAGAGGCATCGCTGTCACGACATCAACAAATACAGAAGAATAGGAAGAGGCGAGGTAAGAACTTGACACCCAATAATGACATGGCTCAGGAGTAGATCGTATGTTTTGTTTGCATGTCTATATCCCGAGTACATAAAATGGCTTCTACAAATACCATAAAAGTGAATAAATAATTTCACGGGCCTAGTTCAGCACAAAAATTTTTGCGAGGCTCTACGTGGCCTCATGTAGTAAAATGCTGAACTATCTTTTACATACAATAATACAGTTCCGTCAACAATGCCGAAAATATTTTACATAGTAATACAGTTCCGTCAACAATGCCGAAATATTTTTACATAGTAATACAGTTCCTTCAACAATGCCGAAATATCTTTTACATAGTCATACAGTTCCTTCAACAATGCCGAAATATCTTTTACATAGTAATACAGTTCCGTCAACAATGCAACTATTTGTATTCTTTCCTTTTCACTTCCTTTCTCAACGTGTTTCGACCCCAACCGCCCATCATCAGGTGTTTTTTAATTTGCCAAAACTCTTATACTGTACTGAATGTCACTCATTCACTTCACATGTTACATTGGTTACATTGCCGTATATTGCAACTTACTTTCTGTTAATTTAATTAATTTTTTTTTTCTAAAATTCTTCTCTACACCTCACTAGGGCGTCGTCTACTTGTCCAGACAGTATATTTCGATCCCTTTCCTTGGATGTTTATATTGTAACGGCCTGTTGATTTCTGTACGTAAGCCAGTTGTTGCGGCTACGTTTTGCCCCTTGCTTGTATACGTCGTTCTCCACACCAGCGTCTAGTGTTGTCCTCTCTTGTAGCAGATGTTGTACAAGTAATTAAACTGATGTTAACTAGATCGTGATTACAAGTTTTAAAATCACGAAATATTGCAGTTACATGTGAAGTGAATGAGTGGCATTCAATACAATATAACAGTTTTGGCAAATGAAGACACCTGACGATGGCCGGTTTGAGCCGGAACATGTTGTCAAAGGGAAAGTGAGAAGGTAACATTCAAATTAGTGGCACTGTTGAAGGAAATATATTATTGTGTGCGAAAGTTAAAGTAATGCAACAGGGTGTTTAAATACAATATTGCTTAAGTATGTAAAAATGACCAGAAATGTTTCTCCTTCATCTTCCACGTTTAAGCTACAAATTCGACGATATTAATAACCGATAAAACAGAGAAGTGCAGTTATTTAATGTAGCGAGCATGCAGATAAGTTACTTCATCTACATACAACAGCTGACAGAAGCTGGGACAGATTCCATGAAACCAGACGCCTGTGTGTTGAATCACTTGTCTGTGCTGACGGAACCAGGTGGTTCATTCTGACATTACAGAAGATATATAATTGCGCACGCAATCGATAGTACGACAAAGGTATATACATCTGGACTATAGCGAGGTTGAATGGACAAGTCAATAGCCGTTTGTTGACTTTGAGAACAAAGACGTAATTGTTGTAACGACGCAGGCTTCTCCGTCCCATTAACTGATACCCGTGACCTGTTTACATTCTACTTGAACATGAAGATGTCTGTACACACAAGCAGTAATTACAGGATTATTACGGCAGGGAACCCACTTTAAGAGTACTCATGTGAAATGATGCGATAAAGGTAGATAAATGCCACTGACAACAAATCATAATCGTAGGAAGGTAGAACCTGAGACGATCGGTAGGCCTCTGTAATAATTCCGTTGAAACTTCTGCTACCAGATGAGTAGCCATGTTGGTACTTTCGAATTTCTTCCGCTTGTCCTACTTCATCTATACATCAATATTATTCCAGGAGAAATATTCCTATTTATGATGTTTGCTATGATTTCTTGATATCTTCCTCTAGCCGCTCTGCTTGTTGCCGTTTCAGCGTCCATCATACAACTTTAATCTAACCAGAGCAACTCGTATTTTGAGAGCCCTTGTATCATATCCCTGACTAAGGCAGCCTACAACAGATATTTTATGCTTTTGTAAGTGTCCCTATACGCCAGTTTTTCACAAGTCCACGACTTCTGGTGATTCGTTTATTTTTGGTATAAAATGAAGCTACCGCCTTTCGCTCCATTCACTGTTCATAATCACCTTCGTTCAACCATTCCTTTCCAGACAAAATTACATGTGTTTTGAATTATTTATTTTATATATAACGCGGCGACGTCATTCGAAGCAGACGGATGGTTCAATGGATGAGTGGGTGGCATACTAAGTGGGCGGATGGAAGTTTATGTGACTGTGGGCTCACAAATTGCAGTACACTATTGTCACACTAGTTTTTGTCTTAATGGTGCAACTGGTTCAATGTTAGATGAGTTCTTAGTTACATGAAGTAAATGGCTAATAAATTTAATTCTAGAGCTTAGGGCTTCGAATCTAAGAAAGAAAGAAAGAAGACAATGAAGAGTGAAAACATGCGCATGCATAACGTTGTAATAGCGGCAATATTCGCTCTGTAGATTAACAAAATATATTTTTCTGTCACTAAAATCCCAACACCGAGATACACATAAGACACGTGTAAATGGGAGAGGCTTGCTATGTGATTCAGAACATGTAGCAAATTTATTTATTCTTTAAAGTAAGAATTAGAGTGAACTGTTCTGTAACTGTTGCCTTCTCTTCAATGTTATTTATACGAGTAGAACTCTGATCACGAAGTTCATAGGACTATAAATACTTACGATGGTTTAAAGTGAAGAAATAAGCTAATGGCTTGACAAGTAAAACATTCTTTGACTCATGTACTGCAAGGACACTCAAAATCGGTAACTTCGTATACCCATAAAATAATACATAAGTGCGAGCGACCCCCCCCCCTCCAATTCTGCTGCCAGCAAAATGTGCAATTCTGCATATTTTGCTGGTCCCCGTCAGACTGTATTTTGGTAACACGGACCTACGCACACCTCCTTACAATAAGCTTTAAGACATTCCCGTAGAGTCACGAAATTTGTGAAGTGTTTTGCCGTCAGTAATTACACTTTCCTATAATAACTATATTGAATTTACTGACTTACTGGCTTGCCAGGCCACATCATAGCTCAAGCAGTCGTTCGCTGGCTTCCAACCGTGGCGGACCAGGTTCGATCCTGGTCTGGTCAAGTGGGATATGTGATGGACAAAGTGGCGCTGGGGCAGGTTTTCTCCGGGTACTTCTGTTTCTCCTGCCAATCTTAATTCCACCAAATTCTCCATCATCATAATCACCCGGGGCAGGCTACAATAGGCCAATCAGTGGCCGACGTGCCGAGTGGAGTCTCCACCCCCCATTATGCGAATTTAAAAATAAAAATAAAATACCGGCTTGCTAGAACTCTGCATGTGTGTTAACCATATTTAAAACAATTTCTGACAACTCAGTGTCCCTTTCAGAATAAGTCGCGACCCCACACAGAGTTCGAAAACATCTAAAATTTTAACGGAGTCAGAATGCTACAGTTCATATCTTCACGACATGTAACAACACAGGCCCGTACCGAATATGTGTAAAAGTCTAGGTGTTCTAGAATCAGAAATGGTACCATTTATTCATCGTGTTATGAACACATTGTTTAGCTCTAGGGGCATACGCTACGTCAGAGACTTCGATAATTGCCGCAATTATTAAAGATCCGGAAAAATTGGGCTTCGCACTTCCGTTTCCAATAATGTTGTACGCGGAACCCAAAACACACCACAGAAATTTCCTGTTACATGGTAATAAAGATTTTATTGATTCTCATTATCGTTAGAGAATAAAACTTGAATTGTCAATAGCATTGTAATATTAATAATTAACACTAATCAGTCTGGGCACAAACATTATGAATTTGGTAACAGCATGTTTCCGTTAAGCTGAAAAATTTCATCAAAAAGAGCAATAGAGGGCTTTTAATCTTCAGGTACAAATTTATGGGTGACTGAATTGTGGAAGTTTAAAGTTATGGAGTATTAAACAATAATTTTGAAAGAATGAAAAGCATGTAAAAATTTTCAAGTAGAACCCTCTCGCGATAACTTATAGTAAGGTCCGTATAGGTAAACATTTGTCTGATGAATTACCTATCCAGAAAGGTCTAAAACAAGGAGATGCTTTATCGCCAATGCTTTTCAACTTTGTCTTCAGGTTCCATAAAATGCTGGGAAATTCTTGAGTAGTTGCACACTTGGCTTCTCCTCAAGAAGGGCTCAGCTCCATAAGTAAGTAAGTAAGTAAGTAAGTCAGTTAAATATAAATATATGTTCACATTTAACGTTAAATATTAATTTTTAAAATGTTAAATCATTAAATTAAAGTCATGTACAAATTTCATTATGTTTTGTCTGTCTGTAGTAGTTGTGTGCAAACGTGAGTCTTCTATCGATTTTCTACGGGGTTCCTCCCGGTCTCGTATTGATTAAAATGCGTTTTCTTGACTTGCAGGTAAATTTTATTTTTTTTTAACTCGCTTAGTGGGGGGTGGAGTCCGACTGGGTCAGCTCGGCACGGCGGCCACTGATTGGCCTATTGTAACCTGACCCGGGTGATTATGATGATGGAGAATTTGGTGGTATGAAGATTGGCAGGAGAAACCGAAGTACTCGGAGAAAACCAGCCCAAGCGCCATTTTGTCCACCACAAATCCCACTTGACCAGACCCGGGATCGAACCCGGGTCGCCGTGGTGGGAATCCAGCGACTAACCGCTTGAGCTATGGCGCGGCCCTGCCTTGCAGGTATGTGATGACTTTCTCTCTTTGTTGTGTTCCTTGTGTCGCCGTGGTGGGAATCCAGCGACTAACCGCTTGAGCTATGGCGCGGCCCTGCCTTGCAGGTATGTGATGACTTTCTCTCTTTGTTGTGTTCCTTGTATGTGGTGGTTGTGGAATTCAGTGCTGGCGAAATAATAAAGAAATTTCACCCACACACACACACACACACACTAAGTTGCTGAAATATAATATTCCTTAATTATACGCTAATACTCATTTAAAGGTTGAAGTATATTGGGCAGAAATTCAGATACTCTGACTTATGTGATATTCGATTTTATACATCTATTTCAAATGATGAGTCAGCATGAGACGTTCAAATAGTCATTTATAATTACTTGCTCTGAAAGATGTTGCATTAACTTTGTGATCGCAGGATAAACACACATGTGAAGGTTTCCAAGTCTCCAGCAGCCATAAGTCTCCCCCTAATGCACAGAGAAACTGTGAGAACAATAGAGGAATCTTATCTATCATAGCTTCCATTACATTTACACAACTATTACAACACAGTCTGAACTACGCCAGTGTCAAACGCTGTGTCCTCGGCGATCCACGAAAGGAATACCAATAAAACCTCGACATCTCACACAGGTAAATTTACTGTAACTATCTGAAATCACTACACAGTATATTTAGTTCCTCTCACGCCTTAACTTACTGTCGTGTGATTGAGTGACTATAGACGGGGTTTGGATTAGAAATTGGATCTATTTAACGCTTTGAGAACGTAACTACAAATTACGACAGTCTCACTGAGCTATACACTCCAAAAATCACTGTAACTACAGCATACTTGAAGTCTTCACAGTCTTTACTAGCCGTTGCGTGGTAGCGGTTTACAACAGCGGGCGTTCCCTTTCCCGGCTTCTCACTTCTCAGTTGTAAACCTCAACTGACTCAACCAAAGCCTGAACTGCTAATCCTCGTTATGCAGCCCCGGCACAGTCACCACGAAAGCGTATCTTACATTATTCCGTGTTCTATCGCTGGCGAGGAAATAACTCGTCAACGGAGCTCTTCCCTAGCAACGGTTGTTGTATTGTCGCATGTTCACACAGTTGTTAATGGGCAATGGGTATACATATCACAGTGTTAATCACAGAAAATTAAAATGTTCTCGATTTACAGAAGTAATTTATTATTTCCATATTTTTTCATCTGTTCATTCTGTTCCTAACAGGATTTGTCCACGTGTTAGGAGATAAAATTTAATCCAGGAAATTAAATTTAATCAAAGCCCGATAATAGGAGCCGGAATACCATAGTCAGTATAGAGATTAGCTAAGGCTGAGAGACCGAAGGGTCGGAGTTCGAGTCTCGGTAAGGTCAAGAATTTTCTCTTTTCAATGTCGGCTCTGGAGCCTATCCAACCTCCTATAAAATGGGTACCGGGGGCTCTTTCTCGGGAGGGAAAGCAGCCGGGACGTGAAACTGACCACTCACCACAAACAAGTGCCAAGGTCAAGAAAATGTGGATCTATACATCCCCTTCCCCATCGTACGTCTTCACGGCGTAGTGCTTAATTGGTTAAGCACAGGGACAACTTTATGGCCCGGAGGTTTACTCGGCTTCTAACAGAAAAGATTATCAGGAATTAATTAAATGATTTTCCTGTGGAGTAAAGCGCGGCCGGCGCGTAGGGCTGACAACCTTACCGCCATCTTTGAGCCGATTGTCTAGATAATGTGGGATCCCCAACATCTCACAACCCTATGGGCCTTCACGGCCTGTTACAGGGATGGCTTTACTTTACTTTACAGGGAGAACTTTACCTTTTTTACCTTTTACCAGGCCCGATAATATCAGGAAGCAGTAGCGTAGTTGGTTGAGGGGCTATGCTACAAGTCGGAAGGTGGCGGGTTCAAGTCCCGATGAGGTCATTGGAATTTTTCAGTTGACATCATCCTTCCAGCCGCACTAGGCCCTGGGTTTACTCAGCCTCTAACAGAATTGAGTACCAGGAATTAATTAAATANNNGGGGGGGGGGGAGTATAGCGCGGTCGGTGCGTAAGGCTCAACGTCTCACAATCCTATAGACCTTCACGGCCTGGTATAGGGATAGCTTTACTTTTACTTTTTATCATACGCACCCATCCATGTCTGCTTGTCGGTCTGACCACGTGATTCATGTTCGGAACCACTTAACGGACTTCGACTAACTTACCTTATGGGGCAACACTGTATGATAGCGGGTTAATTTTGTTTTATATGTATCGGTCTTATGTTCAGTTTCAACTCTTTGAAGAGTACTGCCTTGTGGCACCTGACGCAATGTGGTCTTATATAAATTTACCAACCATTCAAAGGACCAGTTTGTTTCCGTTACAATTCTTTCACCCTGGAGACGAAAGCAGTAAATACCTGCATCTACCAGACTAGATGTCGTCATATTCCGGAAGGCAGGATCGTGAGTGCTGCGAACAAACTTGTACGTATGTAACGTATATGAGGTCTTCTTAAGACAAAATATTTATCTGCAATGCGTTATACATATGTTCAACAAAATACAAAGTACATGCATTGTACCCCAATATCCCACTGTGCAATTCATGAGGGTACTTGAAAACAGGGTGCCGAGGAGAATATTTGGACTGAAGGTGGGTGAAATGGCAGGACGCTAGAGAAACCCGCATAATAGGGAGTTCCATAACTTGTACTCTTCGTCAAATAAAGCTAGAATAATCAAGTCAAGGAAGATGAAATGGGCATGGCATGTAGCACGGATGGGGAGAAGAGGAATTCATATAGGATTCTGATGGAAAACTATAAGGAATATGTCCCCTAGGAAGACCAGAATGTAGATGGGAGGTCAGTATTTAAATGGATTCTGGATAAAGAGAATGGGGTGGAATGGGCTGGATTAATCCGCTTATGGAGAAACATCAGAGCACTCTTATGAACATGGTGCGTCACCTGCATTACAAAACATGCTTCGAGTCCCAATTTGATCTCCCTAAATTTGTGTCATGATCCGATTCGTAGCAATCTTCAGACGCACTGGGCAGCGGTTTTCATAGGCATTAAGAACTAAAGTTCATTTTGATGTTTTTTACCTAACTATGATACAAAACTGTAGCAATAGGTGGGCAGTATACTACGGTCTTAACCATGGACACAGAGAGAAATCGATCTTGACGGCAAATTAAGCCTATGAAGGTATAAGATACAGCTACGTCCATATTAAGGGTAGAGGAGCAGCGAAGTTACATTGTAACGAATAAGGCAGCGGCTCCCACGAAACGTTGTAACCAAACATAAGTCTACACAGTGTCATAACCCAGACAACCATAATTTAAAATACCGCAAAAGTCGTTAAGAATCTCATCAGAGTGATAACGAACTCTATCGAAAATTTGTACATAATCGTGACGTCAAAGGGCTCACTTTTTAAACCAAATTAAGAAGTAACACATATCTTTTTGTATTTGAAGTGTAACTGTGTTAAGATAAGGAATAATGAAATTCATTATCAGCCTTTCGCAATTACAGCAGACACCATTCTTAGTCCTCTCTCTCTTCCTCCCCCTCCTTCTTCCTCTTCTGTTTCATCACGCTGTTGCATGCATATTCGAGCTTTCCAATAGATTTAGCTGACTGACCGAACGCCTTGCTCAGAAGCAGGATCGTAATATCGCTGGGCCTTTTGCCCACGCATAATGAGACAAAAATCCATATCTCTGGTGCGATTCGAAATGTCAGACCTAGGGTTCGAGCGATCCGAGGACGTGGGCGTTTATACAGCGCGGTTACCAGGCTCGCCTGCAGTTTGGAGAATGTAATCCAGAGATACTATTCGATACAAGACGTAAAGGGAGGCAAATACGAGCGGGTAGAAAATTCTGCAATTTGTGACACTATTTCGTTTGGATAAACTGCACTGCGAAACATATATCACTCCCTTTTAGACCGCTATAAAGTGATAATTCACTTTATGCTCCGAATATCTGTGAAAGCAACATTTATTTGTTCAACTGAAGTTCCTAATACTTTAGTCAAAATTATGGTTATATTTTCAATGCCCCAGTTGTGACTTTAAAAAAATTTAAGTGTTTTCAACAATGCATGAGTCTCTCATCAAGATTGGGGTTCCATTCCTGAAAATAACGCGGCTTTACAGGTCAAGGCCATATGGAAAACTGGTGGTTACGAAAACCGCGGACATTATTAACAATATCCACAATCTGAGATGACTGTCGTTCCTTCAGTAACCAAAATGTTTAACAACGATTTATAAATAAAAATATAAAGGAGTATCATAAAAACCACTTCAATAATTGCTTTGTGGCTAGAAAAATGGACTCGGAAACCATTGCAGTCCTCCCCCCCCCTCTTCAAATATGGATCTGTTGTAGTGGAAGGGGCTCCATACATATACAAATTGAAAATCCGGCTAATATAGATTGAAAAAACGAATACAAAAGAAAGAGTGCGGATACTTGCATTCGTCAGCTGGCAAAGTACCTCCGTTCTCAGTATTTGGACACTTCTAATAGTTTTTGTTCACAGGGGTCTCCGAACGGAAACACACACGAACCTATATAAATATACTTGCATAATATTTTGTGCATATGTACTTATATACATACACAAATACTGCAAAATTTCTTGTTCATTTATTATACATAAATGATGTATAAAGCAAATAAATTAAACCTATATCTTTAACGCAGATGTTCCCTCAGAGCCTTATAGGTATGCCCCACGGTTACTTTGCAGCGTGACAATGAATTTCACCACGGATGCTACTGAAGGTGCAGCCGAACTACTCTTTGGCTGGCTCGATTCTTGCTTTTTTATACTGATGCTGGTGCTGTCCACGGCGATTGGTGTGTATTTCGGTTTCTGGGGCAAGAAAGAAGACTCTCCTGAGGAGTACCTGCTTGCAGGGAAGTCAATGAGCACTTTGCCAGTAGCCGTGTCTCTCGTGGCCAGGTGAGACTAATCAGTGTCGAAAATGTAGGCGAGGAAGTAGCTCATTCTAATTCACTATATGTACTCTGCATTTTAGTGTTATGTATTATTTTTATTTTATTGTTAGTGGGGTGGGACTAAGTCCCTTGTACTGCGGTCACTTCTGACCTATTGTACCAGCCCCAGATGATAGGTGAGGGTGAGTGTGGAGCAATTTGTGGAATGAAGATTGGCAAGGGAAATCGAAATACTCGGAGAAAACCTGCCCTAGCGCCACATTGTCCACCACAAATTCCACTTAACCAGACCCTGGATCGAACCCGGGCCGCCGAAGTGGGGAGCCAGCGACTAACCGCTTGAGCTAAGGTGCGGCAGCTTTAAAGTGTTAATAACAATGTAGTTTATTAAACCGCAAGCTACCTCCACTCTGAAGCCCGCATGATTTAGCCTGACATATGCTTAAATCAGTACAGCGACTGGCTACGGGCTGAACGACCAAGGGGTCGGAGTTCGAGTCCCCGTAGGGTCAAGAATTTTCTCCACGTCGCCCAGACCGGCTCCGAGATCCGTACCGGGGATTCTTTCCCCGGGGGTAAAGCGACAGGGGCGTGAAGCTGACCACTCACCTCCAGCTAGTGCCGAGGGCAAGAAAACGAGAATCTATACATCCACTCCCTTATACGCCTTCACGGCGTAGTGTTTAATTCGTTAAGCACACAGACGACTTCACATTTTTTATGCTTAAATCAATAGTAAAACAGGGTATGTTTTATTCGTGTTAAGAAAACTGTCAAGAATATGTTTTAATAGAGGAACAAAAAAGAAACATTTCAATGGAGACTTTTTTTCAGCCTGGTGTCTGGCATCACAGTCATGGGAGATCCGTCGGAGATTTACACGTACGGAACACTGTACTGGTTAGCCTGTTTTTGTGCTCCACCTGTTGGAGTTCTGAACAACTACTTGTATCTGCCTGTATTCTACGAACTTCAGATTACTTCTGTGTATGAGGTAGGTCAAGACGGTCAAGACGGTCAAGCCCGCTTATATTGAAGAAGTCAATGTCTCCGGTAATGCGGCAGCCTGTCCTTTGACAGTAGGAAACAAGTGTCATTGTCCTGGGGAATCGATAGGATTCAGAGAAGTAAATTCCAGTTATGTGCCCTAAAACGGCAGGACAACTGCAAAACACCGCGTATTGATTTTTTTTCCTTAGCACTACAGCCCCAGTGGGCCTAGGCCTGTCTCCATGAACTTCTCTGTTCACTTCGAACGTATTGATTTTATTCAACCGAAATTCACTCCAGTTAGTAATGATATTTAATCTGATAAGTTAGAATATGTTCATAAAAATGCAATACTTTACTTTAAAATGCGCATCCTTCTACTGATTATCACACACATGTCTTTGGCCATAACGTAAGAAAAATTCTTGTCCGTACGATCATGTGGAACCAGGAACTGCTGGGGTACATTCTGCAGAATATAAATTAAATAAGTTCACACATTAGTACAACCCCTATCTGACCAGTTTCTTAGTATAATTTTTCTGCTTACTCATAGGTTAGGCAATATTAATCCAAAGCACGTGTTCTAGTTCCTGCTCATTTATTTATTTCGCAATAATTTCATTATCCCTGCATCTGTTATTTTCTGAAAGCGCAAGCCCGACACAAAGATTCCCAACTATTACAGGCATTTAGCTACCGTCAACTGGACTTAGTCTGTTTAGCTGATATTTCGTCGCGGAAAATAACCTACTTGTAATGTTTATTTATTCCTCGTATTTTAATTAGTGATACCTACTCGTATTATAGAATATCCAAAGTAAGTATTAATCAGATATGTCGAAGCCCGAAACTTCGGTCATCCAGCCGACAGCAAGTCACTATGTAATCTGAGCTATGCAGGCTCTTCCATTTATGTAATATAGTATTTTGATATACGGGGTAGTGGAGGTACTGCTCCACCTCTCTTGACCTGGGCGTCCCTGCCCCTTTAACTCCCGGGGGAAGTGCCCCCGCTAATCACTGGATAGGAAGCTGGGTGAGCTCCAGAATTGGTTTGGATGCTGTGAATAAGAGAAGAATATTGCACAGCCGGGAACTGAAAACGAGCCCTTCAGCTCATACCCCGTCTCTATAGCGACTCCTCTGTTTATGTAATATCTGTTCAAAAATGATATTTGTTGATACACACAAATCGAAATTCAAATGGCTTAAAATTTGTCGTAAAATTCTCAAGCATAGGATTTAATCAGAATCGGTCTACCTAGTTGTGTCATTCATAAAGAAAACGGATGCGTATACTTTAATAGGCATTCCGCAAGAAATGCGGTCATATAATTCAATTTAAATATAAATAAATTTATTATTACCCGTACTATGGAAATAGGCTACACATTCTGCAACTCACTTCCGTTTAAATTATCTGAGTTTTTAATTAAACGATAGGCCTGTATCACTTTCACCAAGCTGAGATTGGCTTATAATTTTCATGAATTACGTTTCAGTATTTGCAACTTCGGTTCAACAGAAGTGTTCGAGTCATGGCGTCAGTACTCTGTACGATTGGAATGCTTTTCTACATCCCTATAGTAATGTATGTTCCAGCACTAGCTCTGAGCCAAGGTAAGTTTTGAGCAATGTTTCTTAAAATACGATAGTCACTTGAGCATATGGTTGCTCTTCCACGAATGTAGATTTCTTCATTCATTTAGCGGACTTCATATTTGAGATGTGACGTTTTCATTTCCGTCAAATTTCAGATTGCAGTCTTCCGGTTTATGATATTCAGTAGTCATGCGGACGTTTACCATTGCTTCACAGCAACCTTCACACTCCATTTCAGGATACTCTTAAAGAAAGCTGACAATCCCCTACCAGTGGAATACCCCTAAGACCTCATACTATAGACATCGTAACACTTTAAAGTCTCTTGTATCATAGGCTTCTTCCATACGTCATACGACAGGAAACCCTTTGTTGGCCAAGATGTAACTAGTAAGATTTGAAGGACCTCATGTTTCAGCTGAGAAACACGACTTTTGTGACATTATGTAGCTAATTTGGGCTTACAGCTGTGTAGAGAGCGAGCCTGCAACGTGTACGATAAGGCAATGCGATGTGGCAAGAACCTATCTCAATGTAGGCCTCAAATTTCTGCGCACAATGAGGCAGTGCCACCGGCTGGGCGTACACAGCTTGTTACAGGAGGAAATGTCAATATTCTGGGAGGTCACAGTATCGGTTATTCTATGCAAATGTCCTATTCCGAACGGTTTCCGAGATAGATATATTACAGTTCAAGAATTGCTGATAAGAAAGAGACATTACGTCCTGTTTCTAATACCGGTATTAATTGTTCAAGTGAGAAAGTTTGTATGGCTTACCTAGTAAAATACATTTTTAGAAATTCCACCGTCAACATCAGTGCACTTTTCAAATCCTGTGAGGACATGATGTGATGTTCCTCAGTACAGTGAAATAGGTCTATCTCGGAAACCGTTTGGAATAGGATACATGTCCGATACTACAACCTTCGAAAATATTGACCTTTCCTCCTAGGATATCACATATATGTGCACAGGGATTGTCTTAAAGCCGAGTAGATATGTAATTTCTCTGTTGCCACGGCATTCAGGCTGTCTGAAAAAGCCGTAAATTTTTACTTACAGCACTATGAACATTACATCACATTACATCAAGTTGCCTTGTAAAGATCTCATGGAAAACGCTGAAAATGAAGAATTCCATGTTTGTTTTGTGATTCTTATGGCGGAAACTACGAAGGGCGATATCTTTTGGGACAGGATGCCGTGTATTCTGGTAGAAGTTTTACGACTTATTAGAAGAAATTATTTTCGTCTTATTTGCTGCTTGATTAAATTACTCCTAGAACCTGAAGAAGTTTCTTTCAAATGTCGACCCGAATACAAGGCGTACTGTCTCAGAACATAGAACTCTTCAAGATGAGTTCCAGTTTCGTACGAGCTGAGTTCCAGAAAGCAAATTTTAAAATTAAGTTACTTAGAATATGTCCAGTGCCATAAATAATTTATTTAAAGTTTATTTCATAAATTATACATTTTTGGTAAAGTATGCTGCATTATGTTTTCAGTGAGTGGATTGAATATACACTACATCACCCCAATTATCTGCATCATTTGTATCTTCTACACGATGCTGGTATGTACTGCGCTTAAAGTCAGCAAATTAATATATTACATACAGACAGAAAATACGAGAATTTATAGAATATTCCGGATGCATTTATTGGTGCATCAGGCTCAATATACTGAATTAAATGTCATATTCATGGAGTCTGTCTTGATTCTGGCAGAATTAATTCACCATAAAATAATTTCTACCATCCTAAACACATTTGTGAGTCCTCAACAGCAGGGAATAGCAAATGCAAAATCAAAGGATAAAACTATACCGGAAATTGAGTGACATAAATTTTCAGATGCGTTCTACCCGAGTTTGCACACGTGACTGAGTTTGAGGGATGATATAATCTATTAGTGTAGATAAGTGTTTATTTACACATCCAGAGTGAACTTGGAATTCAGTTAAATGAACCAGGCAACAGTGTGTTTAAAAGTTGGGTAAGATTATGGAAGTAAATATTGATGAAATTCAATTAGGAACTCGACAGTGTCCAACAGTGTTGCAAGGCTATTCCCATCGAACAGATGTGGGCCTATATAAATTGTCATGAATTCTGTTAAACACTCTCCAAAACGAGAAATAAATTGAAATCAGCTTCACAGATCTTAATTGCATGTATATTTTGAATATATTATTGTTCGTAAATTTGTTAATTTAAAAAGGATGGATTACTTGAGCTAAATATGAAGCGAGGTTTTATTCGACCTACATGATCAAAAACAAAATTCGTCCGAAACGCATACCTTAATTGTAGTTTTCCGTTTTCAAAATCGATCCACATGCGTTGAGAGAGTGAAAATAGCTCTGGTCTCGTGTTTCAGGGTGGAATAAAAGCTGTCATATGGACCGACTTCCTGCAAGGGGTGGTGATGGTTGTGGCAAGTTTGGTTGTCATCGTCCTGGGACTTATCCATGTGGGAGGCTTTAGTCCTGTCTGGGAGAAGAGTATTGAGGGACAAAGGATAAAAATTTTCGAGTATGACCATATATTGTTGAGCAAAAGGCGACTCTGAAATAGCGTTCTGGCTCTCAGTAACAAGCTTGAATATTCAATAGCATTAACGCATCTTTTATTAATTGTTCATTTCTAATACAAATATTATACTATCATACGACACTTCGCCTGTTATCGATTTTAATATACTTACTGAAAAGAGTAATCATTAACAAACAGCATAACGCAAATAAGTCACTGATTTTACTAGCAATGCAGTAATTGCATATGGCAATATATCACAGAACATTTTATTCCATAAGAAACTTACTTGAAATATTTAATATTTCAGGAAACGCGTGTTGGTTTATTACTCAGTAACATATTATTTAAAATTTACTACCATAAAAATATACAGTTCTAGTTATTAAAATGTCAAAGTGATATCACAGGAAGTAACATACTGCAATTATAATAATTCATATGAGAAAACACTGACAATATTGGTTGGCCGAATGCTTAATGTCGCAACAATAACTGTTTCAGAATGAGCCTCTCTCCATTCGAGAGAATGACATTTTGGAGTGTTTTAGTGGGCGGAACAAGCGGTTGGCTGGGGATGCTTTCAGTGAACCAAGGAATGGTCCAGAAATTTCTGTCCCTTCCTACATATTCTAAAGCACAGAAGTAAGTTCTAATAATATAATACGTAACAAATTGCATAAATTACAATTTATGTCAAGCACAATTTCCAAGTCCTGGTATTTGCAGCTACAACATACAATACTGTGCTTCTGACCGTATAAAGCAGGACTACTCTTTAAGGAATATGATTCAGGGGAAATTAGACAAAAGGATTACAGTAAATATTACTGATATGCCTCTTCTGTGTTCTAGTGGTCAGAGTTCCTGGCTATAGATCCGGAGGTCCCGGGTTCGATTCCTGGCGCTACCAAATTTCTATGAGTAGTAGTGGGTCTGGAACGGGGTCCACTCAGCCTCGTGAGGATAATTGAGGGGCTATTTCAAGGAAATAGCGGCTCCGGTCTCGAAAACCGAGACTAACGGCCGTGGAGATCCGTTGCACTGAATACGTGACATCCTCTATCCGCAAAAGTTGGCACTAACTTCTTCGACAAGAGTCGGTCACTCAGTCGGTATAGTCCGTTTGCGGACTACATGCCTCAGAGTTTGATATGTCTCTTCTACTGCCGTCTATTACATCCTTTCAGTATTCCTGCCAAAATATAGTAATTGGAGCCCAATAGTACCAGCTCTATTGATTACATCATAATCCGTTCTTACGTCGCTCACGAATATCTGAAGAGCTCACTTACTCGACCTGACACTAAGATTATCTTTGCTGACTGGTGATCCGAAATTCAACCTCAATCGAACAGAATAATATTAGCCTGATTCTGCCTTATATAAATAAATATAATAAAGATTCCCGTTTTTTGGGGATGAGTCTCCATGTAGGCTGATACACGTGCAAAAATATTTCGGAGGAAATTAATGCCTCGAGCTTCAGGGTAGCAATATCTTCTACCGAGAAAGAAGATTTCTGCAGTCACAAGATTTAGAAACTCAAATCTGAAACAATACTCGTATGTAGCACCAGCGGAAAAGGCCAGGTGACAATTCAACAGGAAATCCCTTATAAACTTAGTTCATTTCCTGTCCTCCTTCCTCACATATTCCTCTGTAGTCTCTTTAATTTGTTCTGCATGTGAAAGTCAGCAGACCTACATACCAAGGCAGGCTACATATTATTATTTATTGCGAGTGGGGTGGGACTAAGTCCCTTGTACTGCGGCCACTTCTGGCCTATTGTACCAGCCCCAGATAGGTGAGGGTGATTGTGGAGAAATTGGTGGAATGAAGACTGGCAGGGGCACCGAAGTACTCGGAGAAAACCTGCCCCAGCGCCACTTTGTCCACCACAAATCCCACTTGACCAGACCCGGGATCGAACTCGGGCCGCCGCTGTGGGATACATATTAAATTAGATTCCACCGCTTGTAGTGACAGTGAACTTATCAAAAGTTCATTACGAAATGATACTGTTCTAGTTTTTCACAGCCTGATTCTTATTTTGGAATAAAATGGTTACAAGAGACAGTCTGTAAATACGTCACAAATGAAAGTAAAACAGTTTTAATGGACAATTAGGTGTATTATGTGTATCACTAGGTGGCAGCACAGTTCAGTTTCATGGCAGTCTAGGTAGAAGAGGAGCATGCGCAAGTTTCTGTAGTCAAAATGGCGATCGTGCGATCTTACTGTAGAACAGCGTTCTGTTGTGCGTTTTTATTTGTGGGTAAAAGGACTTAATGCAAAGGATATTCATAAAGAAATGTTTCCTGTTTAAGACGGAAACTGTTTGTCGCGTAAGGCAATTTACAACTAGGGTCAATAAATTCTCTCAAGGACGTTCGAAACCTACAAATAATGCACGACCAGGTGAGAAAGTGGCTGAGACAACAGTCAAAAGACTTTTATGCTGCGGATTTCAACAAACTGGTAAAGAGGCGGGAGAAGTGTGTTAATGTCGGTGGAGGATATGACGAGAAATAAATCTTTTTTTCCAGGATAGAACATCACACGTTTTACGTTTTATATCCTTTTTTTACTTATTTACTGATTCTCCTTTTTACTCTTTAATATTGAGACAATCTCTATTTCATAAAATATCTGACGCACAGAAATGTAAGTACTACAACTGACGTTTCGGTACTTTGTTTTTCATTTACAGGACGATGAATGTGTAACTTGAGTCTGATGTCATATTATTTTATTCTTAATTATAGCTTTGTTATGTCGGATTTTACAGATCATTGGTGTTTCTTGTACTGGGAACTCTGCTAATAAAGTGCATTACTTGCTTCATGGGACTCATTATTTATGCCACATATTACGACTGTGATCCCCTGGAATCAAAGGTAAGTGGCTTTAAAGAAGCAACCCTTGAGTAAATTTCTCCTAAAATGTATTGATCCGCGCTGTTTCTATGGAGTACTTTCAGTGAAAGTAGCGCGTAGTTCTCCTTGCGTTAAGACCGAGGGACGTGTGCATAAGCAAACATTCGCAATTACAGAAGAATAATTATAGATAGAAATCTGCATCCGTGCAGCCTCAACCACTTATGGGATTTCCGAAACGTTTTCTATTTTCTAGAATACCGGACGACAGAAAAAGTCCAAAAACCCAGTAATTCTCTGAAGAATCAGTAAGCCTGCATGAAAACATGCCGAAAGTAAAACCCTCCCTTAAATCAACTTCAATTACAGGCCTATTACACAATAACTAACTCCATGGAGCTTAGCCCTTCTTGAGAAGCCTCCAGTTGTGCAGCTACTAAAGAATTTTTCAAAATATTATGGAAACCGAATGTTAATTATTGTTCTCACAAGAGCCTTCCAATGCCACCTATCGTGAGCCAGATAAATCCGGTATATACCATCCCTCCTCCTCTCTCTAAGATCCATTTTAATATTATCCACCCAGTTGTCTTAGTCTTCCTAGTGGTCTCTTTCTTTCCGGCTTTCCCACCAATATCCAATATGTATTCTCCTTCTCCCCCATTCGTGCTACATTCTCTGCGCATCAAATCCTCCTTGGCTTGATCATTCGAATTATATTTGGTGAAGCGTATAAGCTATGAAGTCCCTCATTATGCAGTTTTCTTCAACCAAATTTAATGTAAATTTTCCTTAGTTTATGCTGTTTGTCCAAAGAATCGGTCCAAGTCCGAGGCCTTTTGTAATATTTCGTTAACAGCATGTTCTTTTGCAGTGAGCTGTTAGCTCCACGCCAAATCCCCAAGCTGGAGTATCACCCAGTGTCTGCTGTCCGCGATTGCTTATTCAATGTACCGCGGCCACCCTCCGTATCTGAAGTCCATCTCCTACATCTGCAATCTGAGAACGGGCCGTCCAGTGGTCAAAAGCGACTCGTTTAACACGAACAATATCCCAAAAAACAAATTAATTTTATAACATAATTGAGAGGACAATACAGATTACTGATTCAACTTCTTATTTGATTCAAAATCCATTCAAGACTTGCCTACGTTTAGTTTCATCAAGAGTACCGGAAATAGCTTTGATGTGTTGGGAGTTAGGCAATAAATTCATTAGTACAAGATATCAAACGCAAAGGATATATTTCGGCCGAAGCTTAAGAAACTCACTGAACAACTCAATAAGGGCAGAATTAGAGCTACTAACGCCATGTAATAAATTGGAGGGTATTACAAACTACTGAGTAGGAAACTCGGGAAGATAGGCACGGAATTAAGATCAGAGTTTGAAGGACAACCGATATGCAATGGGGAAACTTGGTGCATAAAGATGAAGACAAGAGAATAATACTGAAACTTAAACGAAAGTTATGGGTTCAGATAATGTAGAATGTACTGAACGTGATCTGGAGTAGACTTTCATATTTGAGGGGTTGAGCAATCGGTTTCTAACGGCAGGAACGCAACTTCATTTACCTATCAAAAAAAATCGTTATTTATTTTGTTTCTTTATCTACTTACCTTTGTAGCTATTCAGATTGTCAGATCAGTCTTTATATAGAAAATGGGTTAGATGAGATCACGGCTAATCTATTCTCTTAGTGGGGGGTGGAGTCCAACTGGGTCCACTCGGCACGGCGGCCACTGATTGGCCTACTGTAGCCTACCCCGGGTGATTATGATAATGGAGAACTTGGTGAGATGAAGATTGGCAGGGGAAACCGAAGTACTCGGAGAAAACCCGCCCCAGCGCCACTTTGTCCACCACAAATCCCACTTGACCTGACCAGGGATCGAAACCGGGCCGCCGCGGTGGGAAGCCAGAGACTAACCGCTTGAGCTATGGCGCGGCCCACGGCTAATCTAATTAAATGCTTCAAATGCAACCACAACTTCAAGTCCTGAACGAAATTCATATTCCCAAAAGAAATATCTTGCACTGAATGTCTTAGAAATATCACTGCCAACTGTGTAGTGATCAAGTGATGTCCTTGCAGGCTATCTCTCGGTCTGACCAGCTGCTCGCTTACTACGTGATGGACATCGCCTCTGCAATTCCAGGCTTGCCTGGACTCTTCATGGCAGGAATCTTCAGTGCTTCTCTTAGGTAACCGTGGCATGAATCTCCCCTTTTTTTCCCTGTTCCACACGTCATACAGTTTACTACATCCACACCTAACCACGTGCTCTAAATGTGGTTACAAAAACGATCCAAATTCATAATAATAAATAAGTAATTCGTAATTATGTAATTCTGGACATCGTAAGCATACTACAATATCGTGTAAAGACTTGTGTTACGTCCAGATGAGCATGTATGAGGTGGTTAACTGATGCAGATATATAATCATTTAATGGCTTCGATAAATTAACGAAAGCAAGTATTCTTAAATAATTTGAAGAAAACTGCAAACCTATATTTCCAAATATATTTCATCCAAAATAAATACCTAGTGGCAAGGTGAGAAATACATATCTGGATTGTATCTTGGATCTGTGAACGGAATTCATTAAGTGTATTAGTGGCAAGAAAGAAGCAAACTTTTCTGGTAACGAACATATAACAAGATAATTTTTAATTGTGTTATTTTATTCTAACGAAATAAGAAAACAAAATGTGAGAATGTAAGATTTGAGGCTTTCACGGCGGTGACTATGAAGAATGCAGTCTTTTGCAGATTTACTTATACTTTTTCTTCAACCCTGAAGATGGGGGCGATACGTTCCTCCGAAACGTCGGTTAACACCACATATACACGGTGCCAAATCCCAGAAGACTGCATTCTTCAAAATGTGAGAATGACTGAAAGACTTTAATTTGAGGGGTGACAGAATATGATATGACAAATTTAGTAGAACCTGATGTTCAGCAGGCACTTCAACACTAAGCAGTTTCAGCTGTATGAACCTTGTAAATGTAATACGGCATCTGAAACGTGCAAGGAATCAAGAAGACCCAAAGAGAGCAATCTTGGTATAGGAACATGATGCTAATTCATTATGTTACATTAATTATATTTATATATTTGCAGCACCATGTCCAGTACTCTCAATTCCCTGGGCGCTACATTATTTGAAGACTTCGTTCGGCCATGTTTAAACATCAAAATATCAGATAAAACTTCAAACAACATAATAAAATTGCTTGTTATAATAATAGGAGCAATCTGTGTTGTCATGGTGTTCTTTGTTGACAAAGTCGGCGGAATTGTCCAGGTAGGTAAATACAAGTGGCCACGAAATTAATATTTTGAATCCTGTAAATTAAAGTATCCACCATTTTACTAAATATGCAAAATGTAAAATGGCCTCTCCTACGAATTGAGATATTCAGTATATCACTATATACAACGCTAAAAGTTTCCTTTTGAACACACAGTATTCGTCAATATTAGAGTTAATTTTACCGTCTACACAACACGTTTTTATTATTATTATCACACTATATGTTTCGACCTCAAGAGGTCATCCTCAGATGTACGAACACAGTTGTATAATCACACGCAATCACATTCGTTTTTTCCACTCATTCGACTCTGTATCCTATCCAGGTCCACGCTCAATAATATATTAGGTTCCTCCTACAAAAATACAAGTTAAAATACCATTACAAATGTTAAGATTTAAAACTTAAAATTTAAAATTTTTCGTGAATTGAAGTTTCATTCAGGTCATTGGTATACTTTCACTTTCACACAGTATTCGTCTTTCACTGATGACATCGTGGCGATATGTAAGACATGACATCAAAATACAGTTCTTGTTTTGAATATTGTAATATATAAACATATGTTAACAACTGATTTTAAAACATACTGAAACGCTATATACATAAATTTTTATATTCCAAACCTGAATTATATCAGTTTCAACTGGAAATTTTTTTCCTTCCAGCTGGCGATGAGTATGAGTGGTGTTTCCTCAGGTGCATCCTTCGGACTTTTCACATTCGGAATGTTCTACCCACGAGGAAATTCTAAAGTGAGTCCACAGTATGTTGTCCACAGTTCAATTTCGAACGCTCCCTAAGCTAAGGCCTAATATTTTGCGTTTTACTTCAGGGCGCTCTGGTTGGAAGCGTCGTTTCGTTGCTGGGCATGGGATGGATCGTATTTGGAGCTCAAATGGCTTATTCTGACGGCACCATTAAGTACCCCAAATTGCCCACTTCAACAGAGGGCTGTGGCTTCAACATAACATTACCAGAACCCATCGTGTGAGTAGTTATGTCTGAAATAAACGCGACAAGCTTTTCACCTGTATGGTAATCCTACAAAATTTCGGAACACCTTATTACACGGTAAGATACCATGAATTTCGCCAGAAAATTAGGTGCGTGTTTTACAGCTAATTTCAACAATTTATGAAGGTGTGAACTGAGCCTTGATACTTAGGCTTTAAGTGGCCCACCCCACCATCCTTCCCCGACAGATGGGAGATATACATCGTAGATTATTTGGTGGAACTAGGATCGACAGGGGAAACCGGCGTACCGGGAGAAAACTTATTGCGGTGGCCACGGTCTACCACAAAACCCACATTGAATGATCTGGTACTGAACACGAGCTAACTTTGTGCTGTATGGCATGGCGAACAAAAACACCCACACGTTTCCATTAGGAATTGACGTACTACGAAATTCTGTCGGTTATCCTATATGGTTTCCAATGTTTTTTTGGTTACTTTATTTGGTGTTTGTGACTTTCTATAGGTAAGTATGGCAGGAAATATTTATTACGGTAAAATTAAACATGATTTCGTTGAATTTTCATCCCTCTCTCTCTTTCGTGGATTATCGACTGGCGCCCGAAACACTGGAGAGACATCCTGTTTGAGGGCAGTGTTGTCAGTCTCGGATTAGCTCATCTTAGCCCAGTCCTTACATCAATGAGAAAGTTAAATTATGTCTATAACTTCCATTCGGATATAAAAAACATTCCCATTAGTAAATGTCTTTCGTGCTTCACTGTAACTGGGTAACTGTACAAAATGAGAAAGTAGAATAGGTGGGGGGGGGACGAAAGAGCTGTACCGGCGTGTACAGTAACGACGATACCAAACGCACATTCCATTGTTACTGTGACTCACATCGTCCGTCGTCTGAAGCAGAGGCTTATTTCATATACAGGACACTTCAACATTTTGTTCTACTCCCGTCCTCAGGTGACTACTAGTCATTATACTGAAAGCCTTTTCATAATTTGTTTTATCTTCAAGACTGTAGATGAAGATTGAGATCAAACAGGAGATCCATTTATCACTAGATCAGCGCTCTCTTCAAGCAGCAGTAATTTAAATATCTGTCAGTATAATGACAATCTGTTAAAAGTAATTTAAATATCTGTCAGTATAATGAAAATCTGTTAAAAGTAATTTAAATATCTGTCAGTACAATGACAATCTGTTAAAAGTAATTTAAATATCTGTCAGTATAATGACAATATGTTCTGTCAGTATAATGACAATCTGTTAAAAGTAATTTAAATACCTGTCAGTACAATGACAATCTGTTAAAAGTAATTTAAATATCTGTCAGTATAATGACAATCTGTTAAAAGTAATTTAAATATCTGTCAGTATAATGACAATCCGTTAAAAGCAATTTCAATAGCTATCAGTAAAATGGCAGTTTCATGACTACAAGTCTACAGCAAACTTCTGAAATCTAGAGGCCGTGTATATGACTTTAACCAGAAGCAAAGAATGATATCCAATATTAATTCAGTACAATAAGTACTGCTCAATAATTTTACTGTACGTGTATTTCAGGACTGAAGTTCCGCCGGAAGAGGCATTTGTTTTGTTCCGGATAACCTTTATGTACTACACTCTGATGGGCTTCGCCATGATGATCATTGTGGGCATGATTGTGGGCCTCTTCACAGAATCTCCAAACGTTGAAGAACTGAACCCGACCCTCTTCAGTCCTGTTGTGAGGAAATATGTCTTGCGCAAGAAACAGAAATATGAAATGAAAATTATTGATGGAAAAAAAGTTTTATATATGACTCCTTCTGAATGAACTGACATATATTTTAAAGGTGTAAATAATGGATCGAAAATTATGAACTGCAGTTCTTTTCGACATATGTAGCTATGCAACTGAAGAAGCCAAAGAAAATCCTGTGTCTAGAATGAACTGTGATGGCTCCTCGCGATGAGCTACCCGACGTTTCAGACGATACGACAATTTCCTACTGTTTGTGTTGCAGAAGCTGCTTCTGTGAAGTGCAAAACACTGAAGACTGTGGCTCCCGATTAATGTATTGTGCTTCTTGCATCATGTGATAATTTGAAACAGTTGTATTTACGAGATAAACGTCTTAGGATTCAAGAACAACGCTCCAACAGATACCTTTTAAATAAACCTTATAATAGTTCCTGCGTACATTGAATTTTAACATTGTTTATCTTCCTCCTATCCACCACAAGCATCTTTAAAGTACCCATTCGTTTTATCGGCAAAACAGGCGGATTTTAAGACAGATATAATAAAGAAATAGATGTTTTTAAGGTAAGCTAACAATTCCTTTCCAGTTTCATTCTGCTCGACACATCTGCTAAGTCAATAGTGTAGCATAAAACTTGCCATCTCAAATCCCACAAAATTCTTCCCTTTTTAATGTTATATAACATAACTCCAAATTCCGTCATTCGTTAACGTTCCAATATGAAAGCGTTTTGATTCTCTGCAATTCAATATGTATTGAATTCACTTATATTTCAACAATTCTTGTGAATAACCAGGGAAGGACACAATCTTCATTTCCAATGCAATAACATGATTGTGGCTTTAGTCATTCAAATGTTGCGACATGTCACTCACTTAATCCTTGTAAAACTTTAATTTACTCTAAGGAAGGACGTGCGCAAGAGAGCCACGAAGGACAATAAGCAGCCTACAACTCTTCCGAGATATTTACCTCTCCTCTCAGATTCCGCCATTGTACACGATCCTGACTTAGTTCCATTCATCTTAAGCTTTCAATACTTGCTTCTTCAGTGCCTGTTTCATGTTTTTATTCCGGCACTTCTCCAATCTCCAACTGTGTCCTTGTTATCACTTCGAAACACAGGATTCATTGTTTTAAATAAAAAGTCTTTACTTTAGGCCCAACTCACAACCTGGGGAACCAGCCCTTGTCAGCAGTTTGGGCTGCTCATGGGGTGTGTCTAGCGCTTCTTCTTCGAGACAGAGGAAGAATCCGTCTGGGGTAACTCTAGCATGAACTCGAACAGAACTGAGAAACAAAGCTTCATATTCAAAATCTCGGAGCTCGCAATCATAAATGTCAGATACTTATCTTATCATTAAAGTAGATCTTAAAATAGGAAGGTGTGTGGGTGAGGGCTGGATTCAACTGTCTGAGAATAAGAATCAGTGGCGGCTCTTTTCAATGCTTTAATGTGGGAACCTCGAATTCTACGCAGTAATAAATCGTTGCTAATCGTGAACTTTGGGGAATACCTTGACGAAGTGAGTAAATTACTGGACTCCCAAAGGAACCGTGTTCCCCTGAGTTACTTAGGGAGTTTCGTCTTCTTTGCCCTTTGTATTTCTTCCTACCTTGAACGAAACCTTTGAGATCAAAAAATTAAAAAACAAATACTCAAAACTCAATTTCATTTGCGAAAGAATATTTCTGCAACACAAAATAACTGCTTCCCGTAGCTTTATGAGAGTACGAATAAATAGGCACTAGACTTTCCTCGGTTTTTAACAGACTCGAAATGGATCCTTTTGCGGCACATTTTCCTCACCATTTTCCTAAAATAATAAAATTTTAAGGTAAAAACATGGAAAAAAGGAAAAAAAAATACTTTCATAGAAAATTGAATGAAGTCGAATGACGCAGCGAAAAGAATTTTTTTGTGTGGACTAAAGTGGATGCATTATGCACTAACGGAAAGTTGCTCCACTCCAGTTGAATATTGCAGCAACAGCATTAAGTGCCCTAATACACGTACATAGGGGTATGGAAGTAAACGTCAGCAATAGGTAAAGGGATCAAAACCACCAGTAGTTGGTATTACCAGCAAGGATGAGGGCAGTTCTGCAGCAAGAGCTGTATCTGCATTTCCTCTTAGCTTAACCGCTCAAAACTCCTGCAGAAATCCGCATCCCTCTTTTTGTTGCCCTCATATAACAGGCAGTAAATTAAACAACCCTTTTCTACCGAGTGTTCACTTTATGGTTCGGTGGAATAATGAGGCCCATGTAGTGTGGGAAAAGGAAATCTCCAGCAAGTCTTTGTAATGAGTGTCAATGCTAATGAATCTGTATTCTGAAATTAATAGGTCTTTTAACGAAATACTTAGCGAGAAAAATAAAGAATTCTAGTTCTATTCAAATAACATACTTTACCATGTAAATACTACCCAGAATTTAAAGTCTGTGAAGTTAACTAAATCATAAAATATGAATTTGCTTACTTAATCCATCCATTTCTATAAATATTAACATGCGAATATCTTTAAACATAAAATTTAATTAATTTTGTTACGTCTATTTGTTTACGTTCAAGAAAAGGTACTCTAACCTGCCTCGTTCATTTGCTGCGAAGCACTGCCTACCGAATATCATTTGAAGTTCTCGATGTTTAAATTAACCTAAAATTGCATAATATTCCTGCAACTAAATCCTATGATTGAAAATAATTCTACTATCTTTCAATTATATAAATAAATTCGCACAAAATTCAGCTATAATACACTACGCATGCGCCTCAAAAGTAATTCATTTTTGTATCTCTAGGGATTCCATACAATTTACAACTTGAAAACAAGACATAATGACGTTGCATCCTGATTTCTTTATCTTAGATTGTGACAGTCCAATGCCATATACAAAATAAAAAACATTACGCCTTTAAACCTGTCTTGGCACGTGATAAAGGCTTGCATTGTTTTTTCTGTGGCGCTACAGCCCCAATTTTGGGCCTAGGCCTACCTCCATGAAACTCTCCGTTCACTTCGGGTTTACTAGATCTTACACATTCGGTAGGACTCCTTGGGCGAGTGATCAGCTCGTCGCAAGGCCTCTACCTGTAGACAAACACAGAAAAACGCACACAAACATCCATGCCCTGAGTGGGATTCGAACCCACGATCCCGGCTTCCGAGCGAGCGAAGACAGTGCATGCCTTAGACCGCTCGGCTACCGTGACCGGCGAAGGCTTGCATTAGCCTCACGTAATTAGGAAGGGCGAGGCCTGTCCTGTACCTCGTCAAGCAATGAGAAGCTACCAGTAGTGTGAAAGAGTTTGGCTTCAGATTTTCTATTTAAGTTGGTGAATAATTTAATGGGCACTAAGCTGCAAAGTTGTTAGAAGATGGCAGAATAACAGACGAGACGGTTAATACACCTCTGAGGGCTGTAGGATTAAATCCGCAACGGAAAGCAGAAGGAACATGGATGAAAACCGTCATGAAAGTAATGCGGTGCACTTTGAGACAAAGAACGTTTTGATACTCCTAATATTGTGAGTGCGCTGGTTTAGAACAATTATTTTCAAATGTCCATGTAAGCTCTTTCAAAAGTAATTAAATATCAGTTGCTATACAAAACGGGGAATTCTTTTTTGCACATTGCCATGTGTATGAGTGACCACAGACCGGATTTTGATGGATAATTGGATTTATTGACCCCTTACAGATCGTAACTGCAAATAACAATAGCGCTATCGCTAATTCACACACTCGAAAGTTCACTACAGCACGTACTAAGTCTTCTCAGCCTTCTGTGTCTTCACCAGCAATTGTCTGACAACGGCTTTCAATGGAGGGCGTTCTCCTTACTCTGGGTTACCGAAATATCCCCGTGCCTCAGCTACCAGCTTGTACCAGCAACAGCTCACAAACACCGAACTGCAGCAGTCCGATAAGTGACTGGTCACCAATGAACAGACTTCACTCCACTGCACTCAACTGCACGTCACTCGTTAACTGAACTGAATTCGGTCGGTCGAATCATATAGGCTCGGAGCTCGCCACATAGAAAACACGGCTTCCAGCAGTATTTCCATTGTGGCGCGAGGACTGCTGCCTAGCAACGGCTGTGGTCTCGTTGTTTATTTCACGGTCGTTGCCTAACAAAAGATCTATATGCCACAAATATATTACCCTGAAATAACTCAATAGTTACATGTCTTACACGTGTAATCATAAAACTTCCGTATTCATTTTGCAATACCAATTCCAACTGCATGCATAGCCAGCAATTTTTCTTCCATTACTCAATCTGAGAAATCCTGCAGGCTGGCAAATTTTCTCCTATCCTATACAGGCCCAGTGCTTTGAGCTTGCTGTCTCCTCATGTTGGTTTCCTGCTTGCCTTACTGCTCGATCCTGAAGACAGACGCGATAAGTTCCCTCGTAATGCCGGCTGACTTCAGGTACTGGATATGTTTTCTATTGAATTTGCGAAGAAAATTCTGCAAGGGTTATGTATGGTCAAACGTATTTATTCTATCAAACTTTAACTGGAAGAACATGACTACCTTCCCGTTCTTCTGTTCTATTTTATTTTTAAATGAAGTAGGTCAAGTACGATGTTTATGTTATAATAAAGAAATATAAATATATAAAATTAACATTAACTATTTGTGCAGAAAGTTACGAGAAACTTTACAGAAATCTGTGGACGATACTTACAACAACGCGACCACAGATGCAGCTAAGATGATGATGATAATACACGCAACAGCTTGCCTAATATTACTGAAATTGAAAAATTATGTCATAATTTCTTAACTTTTCCAAGTCCAATCGAAAACCCCCATTTCATGCCTCTCGATATTAATGCGATGTTAGCTTTCGGATGAACCCTGATACTAATCCTTGCTTACTTCCATTCACTCGAAATTTAAATTGGCCGAGAAAGCTAACACACATAATTTTGTATGTACATAATGAGATCTGAGACTACATACCCACTTGCATACTTAAATATACATGCATTATTTTACAGTGAACTATACACCGTTTGGAATCGTAGGTAAGTCAATAAGTAAGTTCCAAATGGATATAGAACTTAAATAAGAGTACTGATTTGAAAAGTGCTTTTATTTCTCAACATAATCTCCCTGTACATTTAGGCACTTCTCCCATCATTTCACAAGCCCCTGAAAATCAGTAGCATAAAATTATTTGGGCTGCTGTCGGAACCAGGCGGTGACTTCCCTTTCTACAGCTTCATCGTCGGGAAAATGTTCAGCCGAAAGATGATGTTTAAGAGGGCCGAACAAATGGAAGTCACTTGGAGCAAGGTCGGGGCTATACGAAGGATGCTCGAGGACTTTCTACTTGAAATTTCGCATCGTCTCATTTGTCTTGTTGGCAGTATGGGGACGAGCGTTGTCATGCAAGAGCAACACTCCTGGTTCCGACAGCAGCCCAAGGAAT